ATCTAAATCAGGTGACAGGTTTCAACCAGAACCCCTCATTTTTAAACTATAATGGAGATAACTAGTCTGACTTGATGACCCGCGACGAATGGTATTTAGCAAAACCGATAATTAAAAGCGCAAAATAGATTATTAAACGGAAATGGTAAAGTAAGAATGATCAGGTTTTCAGTTGTACAAAGTCCCCTTTGATCAAAAAGTATATTTGAAAATAATTAATCCAAAGTTGCACATCTTCACTCAAAAATGACATGTTCTGGTATCTTTATCATTTTTTTGGTTATACATGTATTAAATTGTCTTTTAAGTGTACATAATTGTAAATTTGGAAAAATAAGATTTTTACAGTATTCGTTTTGGAAAGAAAACCTTTCTTTACTGAAGAATTCAAAATTTAAAAGAATAAAATATGCACACTGTTCAGAAAATTTGTTGCAGCGTCGGTATGACCGGATTTGAACCAAAAATTATCAAATCGCTATTTTTATTCTTATAAAATTTCAAGCGTTTGTTTAACAAATCCAAGTATGCGGAGTGTCTCCCTGCGGGCAAGTCGACTAAATGTTCTATCAAGATAAAATGTGGTAATAAGCCCCAGGAGTGCAACGTTTGACGCGATCTCGCAGTTTACACCTGATACGTGTATACACCATCATATGTCATACAACTTGTTCGTTACTTGAGCAGACACTGACAACTTTCAAATATAAAAAACGTAACAAATGGAATTGATTTGCTGCGAAAATTTGATATAAAATCGAAAAATACCAGTAATCACTTCAAAAATTGATTGCAAAGGAAACGAGTATCCAAAACTATAAAAAAATGGAGCGGAAAGGAAAAAAAATCCAATGCAAACCACGAAGATTATGTATAATGCATTCAGCATGGCGATTCATATAGTTCATATTTATCATGCTCACGTTTGCAAACTATATTAGATTCAATTGGCAAGTTCGGAAACATTCTTAATTGTATTTGACCTTTATCGTGAAAGAAAGTGAAGGCAAGATTTATTGCATCTATAGTAATAACTTTATTATGTAACCTCATTTATTACAAAACGTTGCTAGTTTTACTACAACTTGTAACCATATATGACACTTGTCTATAACGTAATTGGGCAGGATTGAAATATCGTTCATGGACTATTATTTTCTCACTTTCTTTCCAGTGGACATAAAAGATCGTTCCATTATTTTTATCGAGCATGATCTCAGTTATGTTTCAACAAACCTATTTCAATTGTCTTCGCTTCCTACATTCTGATTTTGTCTCGCAGTGTTAAATATATCACTATTATCTGGAGACAACATGCGATTAAAAAAATTGGGATGGCGTAGTCTGGACCATATTTCAAACTTCTTACACAATTCAGTTAGTAGTAATTGTGCATGCTGATTTATAAAGTCCAATATTCTGGCGACAGTCTGGTGATTTTGAACAATTTATAAAAATTTAAATTTTCTCATGTCAAAGATTTCAAACATTTTATCACAGCCTTGGGCCATTTGTTTAAAAAATTTACAATGCAGTCTTCTTACAAAACTTGTAGTTCTATAAGTAATTGGAATCATTACATATTTTATAAAAATGTCATTGGATTTTATTAACCCCTTTAACCTAAAAACCTCCATCACGCAAGTACGTTAGGGGTTAATATCCAATACGCTGAAAATAATACAAGTTCATTTAGATAATATTTTTATAGTTTTTGTTGCCATTAATGTGGTCAAGAACCCAGTCATAAGAAAGTAATGCTTAAAATATCTAACTAATACTTCAGCCAGTAAAACTAATTTAATATCGGAAAGATGAAAAAACGGTATCCTCAGAGAATATTGATGTTAATAGACCAAATAGGCAATTTTTCCGTGCATTCTGCTCGGTGCCACCTAAACATACAGTTCGTTATCTTATGTTTTTAACGACGTAGAAACTCATTAAGTCTAATAAACTTTTATTGCAAAAGTGCTTTTTTACTAACTTGCAACATCCGTGTGTATTTCCGACAGTGCATAATTAAAATTTAAACTTGTAATTACAAAGGTAATTGTGAAAGTATTCTTTGATGATGGAGAAAAGATGCGATAATCTTTAAACCAATAACCATGAAGCCTTTTTAGAATGACCAATTAAACTTATACGCTCTACTAGGTTAATATTTTAACAACCATCTGCCTCGGTTTATTGGTTTACCTTAAAGTAAACATTTTAGTAGGGTTTATTCACACCATAACAAAAGAATGCGTTCCGAGCAATAAGTTTGAATAAAGCAAACTAATCATTTTGAGTCAAAGCTTCAGCCAAATAAATATTCACATGGGGTCGAAATCAAACGACAATTCAACCTTCATGAGTACCGAGATATACCTGCCATTTCTATGCAATCAATAATCAACTCATGAAAAATGATAAACTTTTTTTTTCACATTTGGTTTGTGTATAGACTTATTAGTTGAAAACCAAATTACTCTTTCCACAATTATAAATGCCACGAACAATTACATTTTATGATGAAAAGTTATTGTTCATTATGATTTTGTTTATAAAAACCAAAACAAAGATTAAGTTGTTTAAATAAACGTATTTTGTTTTGACATGAATGTTTATATTAGGTGACACGCGTGTTTGTAAACATATTACATTGGGATGAAAAATGATATTATGATGGACGATGTTTTCAGAGAATGTGGATTGGATATCACATTTGTAAACACTTGTACAGGATATGAGCCATAAATGCAATACATTTTATGGCATAAATATATTGAAGTAGCTGGAAATAGGCAATTTCCTCTCAACAGAATTAGTATACAAAGTGGAATGAAATTGAATCAAAACACAAGTCATCTCTAATAGAAGATATATTAAGCAATTAAAAAGCAAAAACTTCTATTGGGAACTACAAAACAGCACATAGTAATGGACCGAGTAATAATATAATGAAAATATGTTTTGTCTGGAAATTGAAAAGCCAACTGATATAATTTGACGTAAGCTTGAAACAGGAATCGATCATTTTAAATATACAGCATTCATTCATTGTTTGGGAATTACTTTCTGATTTTGCCTCAGACCTGCTATATAATAAGTCCAATCAAAATTCAACTGGTTGCAAACACGTCAGCAATCGTCAAATAAAGTCAATTGAATTGCTTTTATTTGATTTTATTATTTGTTATATTTAAATAACATTGTAACAGTGTCAATGTAGACGAAGTGACTCTTAACAAGTTTCTTTTAATATGGAAACGAATTCAGAGAAACAAGATTTTCATTTATTTTTTTGCAGCTAACTTTCGCTACAAAGAACCAAATAAATATAAATCTGTTTCAAAAGTTTTTCATTCAATGCGAATAGCATTTTATAAAACCTCCAACGCGTATCTCTATTAAAATACTGCTTAGAATCCTAATGACGTACACTTGTCATAAATATTATCAAATCTATTTTCGACTTAATGCTTGTATGGACAGAATTTCTTAAAATTTCCGGCAATCGTATAAAAGAACCTTGGGCGACAAAGCATGAACCAAACCCAAGATTTAGCATTGTGATTATCGACCTACGCTTTTCTTATTCTAAACATAGAACAGAACAAATAATCTTGTGACATTTTCCCAGTATCAGTTTTGAAATGTCCGCAGTGAAATTTAATGCAAAGCAAGTGCGTGGTACATATAATTACCTTCTGAGCCTTGAGGATGTGATGTTTCAACCTATTTCAAATTATACGTTTTAATTGTTTCAAGCAGACAACCGCATCCTAAGTTTATCGTTTTATACGTCATAATATGAGAGGCATTTTAAACAAGTATATATATAATTATTTTGTGGTCAATATAATGAGCGATGAGTTTGTCATATTGCCGAAATATTGTATCGGAATAAGTTCTTCGAAACAGCGAACAAATGAGTTTCGCAACGCACTATTTTGATTGAAACTTATACTGAATTAAAAAAGTTACACGTATTAGAAATTACCATGATTTGATTAAAATTGTGCATCAATAATTTTTAAATTTAAATCTGTTTCAAAATGACGAGATTCCACTTATTATTCGCGGAACATAATCGCTTGCGTAATGCACAAATGCGCAGAGACCACATTACCTATTCAGTTATTGATACCAAAGCGTGGTTCCCATTTGATAAATTTGCAAAAGCATCTGCTTAGAAGTATAATTTAACTAATTTTGCACGTTTATCACGCAATAAAGTTGATCTTTTACGCCCAAGTTATCTCTTCAGTGTGCTACCTCCACGACTAAATTATGTGAAGTTATCACTTGAGTATTGCTCCTTTAAATAATAAACGTTTAATTTTTAAAAGTTAAGTTTTAGTGCGTGGGTATGAAATTCCATCTTAATCCAACAAAGTTTGTATGACCCGACGCAAAATCTGGCGATGAGTTGCGACATCACAGCTGCTTATTTGATACTTTACTTCATGTTATACAATCTGCGCAAAACATTGATGCTGTAGTATAGGATTTCGTGTTGACATCCATACCAATATAAATTCAAACTAATCATCAACAAAGCATGTTGGAAGTTCAAGAAAGCTGTGAACTTTCTTGAAAATTCAGAAAATATCAGGTTGTTTAAAAAGTTCACTGATTTTATAACTTCTATTGAATTTGGTCATTTCTTCAAAAATACTACTACTCACATGTTTTGTACTCACTTTAACTACGACGAACACATAAATACAGTAGCATATGTGGATTTGTTTTTTCTGAATACGCAGTGAATTCTTTTGTAACATTTTATGTGAGTTCCTAATGTCGACAAGCTGAATATTCTCGAATACACATTTAAATTTTCATCCGTTTATCGTCATAAAAAAACTATTGGTACGCACAGAAAGATGGAAAAAGTGAAACAAGCTGATTAAATGAATGATTTTTCACCCTTAGCGACCACGTCCCGCTTTTGATAAGGTGGAATATGAGAAAAAAAATTAAATAATTTCGTACTAAACGTTGGCACTTACCTTGTATAACTCTTTTATCGAATTGAGCAAAAATTGTGATTGGTTTTCAGTCCGATGTCTTTGTAGTTGAAGGTTGTCAGTTGTGGCTGCGATATTCAGCAGTCTCTATGTCTCAATCAAATTGCTCCTGGTTAGGAACAATACTTGATCGAAGACATTACCATCAACCAAACGCACACCCGTCGCCACGACGAACAAGACTAACGTGAAAAGAATCGTGTCTACCGTTCCCGTTAAAAGGAGAGTTCACAAAAAAGTGCAGTCGGATATTCATTCATAGCGTGAGAGAGGTTTTGGCGCTTTTCATGCTCCTGCTTCAGGGCACTTTAGTTTATTCTTTATAAATCCACCATGTCTTTATTTTAACACGACTTGAGAGCGTGAACATTTTGTGTTAATCCCGACTAATTTTAACAAGGACTATACCTGTTAATAATGACCTACGCAAATAGACATTATCGCGGTATTTTTAAACCAAACCCGAATCTGGAGAAAGTAGTCATACCGGTTCATCTCACTTAAATATAAAAAAGTACATGACATGGTAGTCATTGTATTCTATTATTCTTTTAAAGTTGATTACACATAATTGATTCATTTAAACAATTCTTAAGCTATTTTATTAGTTTCTGGTAATTGCTTTTCTGAAAAATATTTATATTCTCATTTTTGACCCATTAATGTTAAAATCAACTTTTTATACTCGACACTTAAGAAATTCTTTCATTTGAAACTCTTATTTCAATTTTCGTGACAACTGTGTTATAAATATTTATGTTTCACAAAAATATTAAATAAAAAAACGTTTCGAAATTAGAACAATTGATATACTGTATATGTAAACTTCAAGAGAAATGACCCGCTCTTGTACACTGCCTTGGCCAGGATTGGTATACGTTATAAACGCTATGGCGAAAAATAAAATAAAAAATAAACGGTTACTACATATCCCAGTCCTACACCCCCTCCTACATCTCAGTATTTATTGCATAGATCTTTGTTTAATAATACCAATTAATAACAGAATAATGCAAAATGAATTTTGTTTCAATTCTTGAATATATTAAATGTGAGTAGCCCAAGTATACTAATTTGCCTGTGACAGCAAACCTCATTAAAATTTTAAGAGATGATCGATCGGCTGAGCGAATATAACGTGAAGTCCATACCTCGTGTTATTGTCACAGTGGTTCCGGGGCACAGCGGTATAAAGGATATGAGAACTTCTTCAGACTAAAATACAACCTTTGAATCAATTGAAATAGCTATTCTGTTAAATTTCATAATGAAATCTTCAAAGCTTCAGGATTCGTTTTCAAAATCAGACACATGGCCAGAAGCATTTGGATTTACAATATATGGAAAAGGCCCAACACATATTATAAAGGTTGTACCTGGAAGCGTTGCTGCTCAATCAGGGTTAAAAGCAGGAGATCAGATCTTACAGGTGAATTTTACGCAGATTGTATATTTTACCTCTAATTCGGTGACGGAGTTGTTCGAAATGTAATTTTTTTCTTTCGATTTGTTTGTGATTTTATTCCTAAAAACGTGTGGTATTAAAGAATGACAAAGAATTACAATATCGATAAAAAGTTTTTTTATCAATTTAATCAATTTCCTTTCTTTGCTCCGAAACATAAATGAACTTAATGGAGTGCATAAAATCAATTTTTGTTCAGGTTAATTCGCACGACGTTAGCGGATGGGGAGACGATGACATCATTTCTCACGTATCAAAACTTTCACAGCATCCACCAAGTCTTGGGGTAGTTTCTAGAATCCGAGAAGTTTCCTTGCAGTAAATAATTTTATTTTATAACATTATTCGGGCATTGTCATCTGATGCAATATCCTTCACGCTACTTTTCATAATTGCATAAATATTTCATTAGGCTTCAAATTGCTATTGAACAATGTGCATCTTAATATCGACCAAATTAATATATGCATAATATAGTAGTGAGCATGATCTTGTTTTCTTATGTGTCCTGTCAGAACAAAATTTATAAAGATAAATAAAATAATAATTTCTGTTGCAAATATTATACTACAATAGAAATAATTTTAATTTTAATGCTTTCATAATTTAGACCGTCTCCAATCTCGAACGAATTTGGATTCAGCCTAATAGGAACATTTCCGGTGAAAATACATCAAATTAAGTCAGAGAGTCCGTCGGACGAAGCAAATCTTATTAGAAACGATCTCGTTATAAAGGTCCGTCCTTCTGTTTGTACATATTGTGCAGTGGTATTAAATTCAAGTAAATTGCTTTGTAATGTACTCGACCGTCTGAAATATTTGGATATCAATTTATAACAGTTTTAGAATTTATTTCAACATAAGCGTTTATGGTTTCTACATCCCATTGCTCAAATATGACGACTGACATATATTCTTTGTTTTGTTACAAAGTTAGACTGTTTGTGATGCTATAGTGTATGAACAATATGTTTGTTATAGTTAAAACTATATAACGTCGCTATATAAAGTTGCCGTCCCCGCTTCCCGGTTGGATTTAATTTGTGTAATTGTCCAAAATATATATATTACAGTAACGTGGGTATGATAGTACCAAAAGTAAAATCTTAAACATAATAATATACAGCATGGTACTAGGGGGTTCAAAAATTAGTCGTGCTTGCGTGACATGTACTGAATTATAGATAAGACAAAATATAAGCATCGAATTTGGAATGCTGCTCGTGAATTTATATAATAAGAATTGTTCTCAAATGCTTATATTTGAAAATATCATCTCAACTTAAATATTGATATGTTTATCATCTTTCTGTGCAATTCCGACTGGAAAATATACCACTTTTTTTGACAAAATTCGTAAATTAATTGATGTCATAGCATTTTTATTGAACCGACCGCGTGATGTAAATAAACTGTATTAACGCGAATGGCTTCATCAATTTTCACAGAATATTAGCAAAATATTTTCACTGGCTCAAAAGATACGCGTGAGAATAAGTAAATAATATACAGTGCATGACTACACTGTATAAATGATGTTACACAGGTTGCTGTTTTAGACCGTTGGGCAATTGCGGTATAATTGTACGTTTTGTCTGTTTGTCTTAGTATATAAAGAATTTCTAATAATATATTTTTTCATAATTCGTTGTTATTTGTGAAATAATTTACTTTGAAACACCGAAGTTATTTTTTATAGTTTTGATCACTTTTTAAACATATTCTTTTCTCCTTACCCGTAGACAATTGATTATATTACAATTTGAGTGCAAAATTTGGACACTGCGTTATTCTTATCCTGTTATATTTAATTGCGCTTATAGATGTCTATGCCATTCTGAATGTTGAGAAGTATTAAAATCCATTTTAAAAAGGAATAGTTCATGTTTTCACAATTTATCACATATTTAAAAGTAATACCTAATAGTCGATGTTCTGTTTCTGTTTGTTTCAAATTATCTCTGTTTTATATTTTATGCTCTATGTTAACGAATGACACGTCACAACTAATGAAAAAAAGTATAAAAAAATAACACACATAAAGAATAACATAATATCAGTATGCCACTAATGTAAAGGAAGCTTGTTGATGTTTTATGCTGCAGTGGATGTTAGGCGGAGGTTGCCCTTCAATTAAACCAATAATTATGCATTATAACGAACTTGCAAACCGTGTAATTAATAATCAAAAACGTTTTACCTCTTGTTCTTAATCCGGTTTATGTTCCGATAATTGTAGAATTCTAAGTGAGTAAGCAGGTGAAACATATGTAACACTATAGTCAAATTTTTTGTAGTGTACCTATGACTTGATGAATATAAAAAAACAGATATTCAAATTTGATACCCGCATGATGCTTTGATTCATTTCAACGTAAATTGGTGTTAAAATCAACCTCTTTCAAATATATCTATTTAAATTACCTCCGTTTAAAATATGCGCCGTTATGTAAATACATAAATACAGCAAGCTATGAATGTAATATGAATTTAGGTGCCTATAGCCAAAGAATATCATACAGATTGGTAAAACTTTTGTCCGAACGTATAGTTTCAGCATAGCGTCAATAGATAAAAAACAAAAACTACAACAAAATATTTTTAATCTCATTTTCTCAGAAATTTATTCTTTCGGGTATTATAATTTTTAAACTTAAATTAACAGAACTGTATTTTTATATTTTGTTAATCATTCTGGTATGAAATCTATCTTTGATAATTTAATAATTCTGGTAATTGCGGGTGGTTTGTATCACTGTGAATTGCATAATTCCTATGTATCAAGATTACTTGAATCGGCCACGAAGTTCATTGTCTCTTGACCTCACTTAGATCAAATAATAAAAAACTACGTGTTGTTGCTGAAATGTAATTCAAATCATCTAGCAGAATTCTTGCTGGCTGTTTCTTCAGCAATTACAAGCGATTACATTTGTCTCTTTATCCTTTTTTACATCATCATTTTAGTAAATATATATTGTCAATGTTTTCCTTGCTTACATTGACATTTTCTAGATCGATGGAGATCTCATTACTTCTCTGTTTCAAGCGCGCCGTCTCGCGGACAATGCTGTTCGGAATGGCGGAATCAAGCTCAGCATCATTCCCGCTCCTTCCGCTGCGCCGTCACGTGCAATTTCTCAAACTGAAATGCCTGCAACTAATCGAGTAAAGGAATTTGTAAAACGGTTTGAAGCACCTCGTACTGGACAAGTGAAGGCACAAACATTTATTGAAAAGGTGAATACAAATGTAAAACATTGTTTGCGTTTTACAGTCATGATTTCCATAAAAAAATCATTTTGTTCTACAGTGTTACTAATAATTAGAACAATTCTTCGTGAGGTTGTCTTGCAGGTCTGCATACTTCAATTATTATTTTTTGGTTATGTCTCATCCAAAGGTCTCATCATTAGCTTTCAAGCATTGATATTGTGTAATATTCACTTGCGTGATAGTAAATCAAATGTTTCTTGTGTTATATTGTTTAAAACAAATTCCATAATATTCTTCAGATCAAGGAATATTTTCATGAACGTCCAGCTGTGATTGAAGGTATTGTTCGCTCAATAAAGCAATATTCAGAAGACCGGAATCTTGAACCATTTGTGTTTACACTTACAGCCATTTTGGATCCACCCGAAGAAAAGAAGGTTTTGGAGGAACTGAGGTAAAAAAAATACTACAACATCAATGCTAGCAAAGTAACCGATGAATTGGCCTAAAATAATCCATGAATATAAAAAAAAAAACAGAAATTTTGATATCTGATTCTTTTCGAGATAGTATTTATTCGGCATGAAACGATCACAGTCACGTCACCACAACTGTGTTACCCTTTTTTCTACATGCTCTGAATGTGCCTAAAACTGTCTATATCATATTGATGCAAAATTTTCCATGTTTCAATTTTTGTTCTTTACTGCAGAAGTATTCATGTTCCACACATTCGCTTTAAGCGAGTCTTTTCTGAATGAACAGTTGTCTATAAATAAGCCAACTTGAATCGACCGTCGGACAGTCCAATTCCATCACGACCACAATATTGGACGTTTTTTGCAATCTGTTCACATCTAACAGGGTCGATTATCAATAAATAAGAATAGATTGTTGGATGCTTATTTATTTATTTTAGAATTTTCATACCCCGTCAACACAAGTCCGTCTATGACACATTAGTGAAGAAAGCTTTAAACCAGAAGAATTCTAAGGTGAGTGCAATGATTTGGCCTAAAGATATATTTTAAATCATGGCCTGAAATTTAATGATTTTTTTCTGTGACAGCTCAAACTTTCCCGTTTAAAGAATTTCAGTCGCGATTCTCCACTGCCACCTATCGGAAAACGGCATGCAGTTGTTCAACACGATGCTGGTCAAAATGATTTTGTGGCAACAGTGAGGTAAATTGTTGGTATCGGATTGAAACTTAATGCTAAATATTTTGTAAATAACGTAGAGTTTAGTGGCATTTGAGTATTTATGTACAAACTGGCACTTGCGTAATACTGAACAACGCAAAACGTTAGAAACCTTTTATCACCCAGTTTTAAGATTTCATTGAATTACGATACATGACGATCAGGAAAAATATTGCTGCCCGCATACGATCCAATTTATAAGTCATTTTTTTTGTCATTGCGATATCTAATTATTTTCTCTCGTTACTAGCCTCAACAATAACCCAAATATAATTCATAGAACTACTCCCAGAAAAAGCGGAAATGAAGCTCATTTTCGTAAATAGAAATAATTTTGAGACAATTTATTGCGTTATTAAAAGTATATTTTATCAAAATGTTGATGACGATGGTATAATGTTTAATATCAAAATCAATATATATGCAGCAGTGCAAAATCAACTCTGCAAATTGTGTGAATACGTCTTTGATTACCTTGTTTTTTCAATTGAAAATAAAAGAAAAGTTTCGATTTCAGCCTCATACACTAGAAATACAAGTTTCGGAAATGCTTTATAGATATAGTAAAACTAAAACTATGCTAAATAGCAACTAATTATTAAACAATGTATTCATAACTTCCTATGCCTTGGAAATAAGAGAATTTATGATATTTTTCGTACGTGTACTTTCCAGTCTTCATATTTTGTAACAGTATATGCAGTTTTAAGTTCACGCATCCTATACCCTCTCTTCTGAATGCTTCTTACATCTCCACATGTGGCCCATAACGGCACTGGAGTCATGGTCGGGAAAATCGTTCAAAATATCGACAACACAGCCTTTGTGTGATTACAAAACAAATATGCTGTGCCAAATACTAATAAATACTAGCAACCCGCTTTTTAAACATGACATCATTTTTCGAATATGTCACACGATGACCCCCGTATCAAATGTATTTGCTCGATAGAGAATAATTTTAAAAGACTAGTGAATGTAGTAATATGTAATACTTTTTATTGAAAAAAATATTATTTTTGCAGACAAGTTCAAGTTGTTCGTCGACACATGAGTTTTGGAATAACTTTGAGAGGAGAAAATCCGGTGCAAGTTCAAGATGTCGACAAAGGTGAATTTTGAAATTTTCTAGTTAAAACAAATTCAAACATTTAATTACGACGATTCGTTTTAAATCTTCCGAGTGTTGGTGACTATTGAACCCAAGTCATTTTTCTACAAAAGTGTATATGCTGACAAATATAACTATTGTTTTCTGATATGCAACTATAAAATTATTAGAGTAGTTGTGTGTGTATCAATATTTTAATACCATTTTTAATGTCTTGAACATTTGGAACAATATACCCATGTTAATGAAATCATATTTAAAATTGAAAAATTGTGAAAACATTGTCGTGAAAAATAAAAATAGCTGATATTACATATACAAATAGTTCTGGAATCTTGATAATTTATCTGAAAAAATGATTGAAAGCCGTGTTTTTCAACATGATTCAGAACAAACAAATGGGAAATTAGAAAAATATTTATATATTATCAATAAATTTCATTCATCTTGTAAGGAATATCAATTAATTTTTTTAAATCATTTGAACAAATATTTTTGTTTAATATTCTGACTGATATGAGTATGATTCAAACTCCAGAAACTAATTGTTTATTTGCTCATTCCCGAAGGAGAGTCAGGACATGCATCCATTTTATAAAGAGCTATATTATATGGGGAATGAAGAATTGGAATTTACCATTTTCAGTTTCATGATTTCAGCTTATTATTTTATTAGTAAAGTAGTGTGGTTGCAGCAGGTCAGACCAGATCGCGTAGTTAAGTTAGTGACCTGCAGAAGTTAAAATTTTTTTGCTACAATTAAATATTTCGAGTGTATGTTTACAATGAATTGAACTATACTCATATTTATTCAATAAATATTTAATTTGGTTGGAATGGAATTTCATGATCATCCTGATATTTAATAATCATGACCCCGTTTAACGTTTTGTTCTCGACGAAGATAAAAGAAATGACCCGCCTTATTATCCCAACAAGAAATGAGGGAAGCTAAAAATAACTTTCTGCAAGACTGCAAAACAAGCAATGCATTAAAATGAAAATAAGCTATTTAAAAAATTTGGTAAAGAAGTACTGTTATTTAAGAATGGTTCAACCATAAGTTTCTTCCGATGGTTGCGTTAATAATGAATCATACTTGATCAAATGAATCGATGAATGGGCTTCAACTCGGGAAACGAATCGTTATGCTCAATTACCACACAGATGTTTGTTCTTAACTTCTTACTTGCACAGAGACGTCTGAAAAATTTTTTAGATAAAAATAGAACTTCATCGATTTTGAATCTAAAACATGTCAAATAAATATCCATAATCATTATCATATATTTGACTATTCTGTTGTCATAGTTTTCACTTTACATATGCGATATAGATCTTCATAAGTAAACACTCATTCGTATAAATACATATGATTACTGACATCGGGTATATTTTAAGTTTTAACGAAAATTAAACAATGCTGAATGTGCATTTAATTCTTGATAAACTTTACTTGATCAAATTGCGAATCGTGTTTTCATGCCAGTGAAACAGTACATTATTTATTCTTTGCAAGACGGCAATTTTTTCGTGATTAGTATTCCTGGGGTCCATACGTCAAAATAAAAAAAGCATTGCGAATAGAAATGCTTGTTGATAGATATACATTCAGTTATACATTTTTATCCTTCAGCATTTTGACTTTGATTTTAACCTATAACTCCTTAATATTTGAGACTATTGTAATGTATTCGAAGAAATTCGTCTTTGACCACAATTAAATATGACAAAATGAATTTATCAGTGTGATGCCATTTATTTATAGTTTTCTTTAACAGTTTCTTTATAAGAAGTATTAACTTTGACTATGAAGGTGGAAAACCGCACGCGGAAATATGCTTTTGAAATAGTTGATAAGCGTAAACAATGACTTTCTTCCGCTTTTAGAATTTTTCGAGGAAATTATAACAGGATGTTTGACGTTGTGACATAACCAAGCATACGAGGATGATAAATGGTATCGAACTAATTCCATCTATCTTGAATAAATGCAGGGCCAAAGTTAATTACCAATTATTAAAAATTCTTTCTGTAACTGGATCTGAAAATTCGCCGGTGCATGCGTTTCACGTTTCCGCTTGTTTATGATTCGCTACATTCAGTTTAGAAAGACGAAATTCGGGGACAGTTGTTTCATTCTTCATGTAATAGGATGCACTAAACGATGATTGCTAAAGTTGATAAAAATTTGACTGAGGTTAGATGATGAGTTTACATTCCAGTTTTTTCAATACTGATAGATATGCTTTGAGAATTGTAAACAATTGTGGCTTTTTTTCTGGATTTTGAATGATCCAAAAGTTATTTACTGAACTAGGCTGGAAGCATTTGACTCTCAAAAGTGTCCGATTGCGGAAGATTGATTTTGAAAAAAAAAATGGTTTGTTGTGTGAATTTGGGATTAAAAATCACGATAACGCGATTAGTTTTTAGAGAATTTTATATATTATTTGTAGAAAATGGAAATGATGTAAATACAGCTGTTTTAAACGCGCTATTTGGGTAAATACACCATTACGAATGTGTTGTAAATTGCCTATCCAGCTTAGTTCTTTTTACCCATAACTAAGACGCAGTTCATCTTAAGACGTGGCGACCACAAAAATGCTTTTGATGTGGGTGTACAAATAGTTTTCAGGTCGAGCTTGAATGGGCATAGATAACATATATATTTTATAAAGCATTTTGGTGCATGTCGCTGGTAAGAGTGGATCACGTTTCTTTTATAAGTCATTTATGTTCATTTTTTTGTTGTCGAGCATGGAGTGCCAAAAAGAGCAGGTACATTACATACAGGATGACAAAATAGGTATTCATATCTAGTCAGATGTCGGTAAATAGTTCAATAAAATTTTGGGTTGAAATGAATATTTCATTTTTTTTTATTATCGTTGAAATCTGTGGGCTAGAATCTAGATGACGAATGATATTTTCACAACAAAATAACTGTATGATTTGCAAACGCAATTTCTGACAAATGTGTTTTTAGTGCTTACTTCGTGGTGGTATAGAAAACAATTATGTGTCATCGATTCAACGAAGGCGATTGAAGTGATTTGGGGATAATTTTGCCGTTTGTTGTCCGACAAATAAACATCACGCGAATCTATTTATTCGGCTAAAATTCAAGTGATTGCGTCATGGTATATGGCTGTCCGCTTGAATTGGTAGGAGACATTTATTCATTGGCGAGGAGGTTGACGGAGAATTTGATTGCCAAATTTTGAATGCTTTCCTATTCTTTTTGAATGGAAAAATAGGCATAATTTGAATTGAATAACAATCTCTACTTCAATAAACGAACAATCCAATTTTGTTATCATCTATAAACTGTTCAAGAGTCAACAGATATTTTGCAACATTTTATAAATAATTTTTGATACTCTGTCAGCATATTCTGTGGAACTTCCTTCTAAAGCTGTCCATTATATGCATATGTTTCGATTATTTCGATCATATGCATATGTTTCGATTTCATATCTTAAGTAATTGATTCTTATGAAAACATCCATAAAAACTAAATGTGATGGTTAACTTGACAAAGATTTGAAATAAAATTCAATTTCAAAAGCTTAATTTTTCCTACATTGATATTTTAAAAATACGTGCAAAAATCGGATTTTTGGACTGCAAGAAAGTAATAGCACGGACAATCTTTATCTGGTGGCGATATTTTATTACATTTTCCCTTCATTTTAGATTTGCATAAAAAGGATGTAAACATAAAATTTTATGTTAATTTTTTCCAAGTTCTTCAATATTGTGGATCCGTTGATTTTAGAAAATTGTGAGACAATCAAACTTAAAACAGTTCTGTCCGTGAATAAATAGTCTATTTATGGTATTGAGAGAGCCAGCAAGTCTACGAGATAATTCGTCATTCGTTTTCATAACCGTAAAATGTCATTTCCTCATTCCGGCCTTTTCGCTTCGTCGCCAAGCGACTCGATCTTTTTTTCTAGAATTCAAAATCAGTTTACTGTCGCACACCCCAGTATGCGCTCAAATAGTCGTCTGGACCTCGAGGATAAATAGATATCAGATTTTATACTTTGTTCGTTTTGTACAAGTACTATATCGGTCAAAGGAGATGAGTTAGTCACAAAATATTTGATAATTTACCAGAATCAAATTTATGCAGAAGAACAGAAATTAAGGCGAGGTCAGATTGGCTGCTCAGAAACAAATATATTCCTAGATAGTCCGATTGGAATCAGTATCAATGCGCGCTTCACGCAATTGGATATTTAAAGTATAAGCCCATTTGTGTACATCTGAGACATCGTTTGACGTTCATTTCACAAATGAATTCAATCAATTAGTTCTCGCTTTAGGGGACACAAATAGGGTCGTAAAATGTAATATGTTCGGGTTCACTGCACTTTTGTATCGACTCAGTTAAGCCTAGCTAAGAGAACATACATTATACAGTTTGTTTAGCAGCTTACGCAAAATTAAACTTATATATGTAAAAGCAAAGCTTGTTGGTAGCGGAAAAGCTTCTGTGGAGATTCAGTTCAGAATAATGCTTTTCGTATTGCAAATTGATCTATTGTATTAATTAAGGGAAAAATTAGTTGACAAACTATATTTTTATTGGTGGCTGTCATTGCGAGAGGTATCCAATGAACTATGTTTTATTTCATGTCAGGTTGAAGAATATGGGCAGTTGTTTTACCTTCTCTATTTTACAAGTCTCAATATGTTATTCGAAACACTTTCATTTTCGCGTTCAGAAAAATTTCCTATTTTAAATTTGTATCAGGGTGTATATTATATGTTAATTGCTTATGTTGTATGTGTCTTATACAAAACGGAGTAGTTTCGTCTTCATCATCTAACCGTTCTTCAAATTTACCCAATTTTACCAACGAGAAAGCATCTGTACGTGATAAGTAGAAAACAGCCAGCGTGGAAATTACCTACAATTTGGTTCTAACTCGATTACGAGAACTTCAAAAGAAAAATGCGATACCGATTTGTTTAGATTGGAAAAAGTAGCAAAAAGTCGTTAAAGGATAATGTATCAAATAATGTCTAGACTGTCAATTTGATATCATACTTTGGCTTTTAAATTTCAGTGGTCGTAAACTAGCATTTTATAAATTATATAGTTATAAAAAAAAATTAAAAAGGGACGAGGTAGAGATATCAGAACAGAATTTGTAGCTGAAATAAACAATTGTTCTATTTTTTGTTCGAGCTTGCTTGTAAAGATATCCTTGTAAATAAACAGCGTGAGATATATATGGTTAGTTGAAATAGGACTGCCTGGCGCCTACATGCTACCCAGAGGTCATATTTAGTTAACCCTAATTTCTATTTCTCAAATTTTCTAAACTTGTAAGCGGTTGTAATGCGATTTATTATTAGTGTAATAAGCTTATCAGGTCGAACACTGATTATTTGCGCCAAGCATTTGCAATATACAAAGTGAAACTCTCACTAGATTTACATCTTTGACCATGTTTGAATGCTGTTTTTAAAGTCTTAAGCTTAAAAGTCAATATTTTGTACTCGAAAGCGATGCCATTTGTCTTCTTTTTCAAGCGTTTAATTTGTCTTCATTTAACGCATGACATGGTTCATGCCACAGCTTTCCATGTCTGAGTGCTGTGTCAGTTATGGTTAATTATGTTAAACGATTTGTGTGTATGGAAGTACCAAGAATTTTATCATTTATTTTGGTTTCATCATTTTAATATTTTGTTAATGGGTGAATTAGTCACATAATACAACATCGGACTATTCATCGGCACCATGATAGCATTTTTTTAAATTCAGAGGACGTCGCATTGGTGGCATGACGACTGCAATATGTCGTATTTAAGTTTGGCCAAATATGCATCGCTCAGAATCGCTTTTAGGATTGGAACTGCATATTGTGGTACGTGCTTTCAACAAGTCGTCCCATTATCGTGGTGGTATGCGGTCTGCTAGGCCAAAAATCTATTCCTGTAATGTTTTCTCGAAAAAGATAGAAATAGTGCTAATTTGGAACAAAAGTACGGAAACGAGCATAATATCTAAAGCCCGATGCTTGTTATAAGTCCTTTCATTTTATAACCTGTAGAGGTGAAATCCTCAAGTGTTAATATGCCCGTTACGTAATTTAGTATTTCTTGTGTAGGATTCTACATTATTCCAAATATGCATTGATATTTAGAGCAGGCATCTAACCTCAAAAGCGCTTCTTAAGCTCAATTACTAGTTAGATCATCTCTATAAGTGTAAATTATTCTAAGTCTCTATCTCTATGGTATGTCAGTAGAGTAAGTAGTCTTCACACTTGGTACATATCTTGTTCAATGAAATCTAGACATTTTGTTTTGATCATTACCTACGGTCCATGTCTTGCATCACAAAATAAATGGAAAAAATGTAAGATGGGTCTAAACAATAGACCCTCTGTTGGGGGCCTGAAATATTGCACGCTCATAATCGCATGGGTGACATATTTTGTCGTCATCTGAGGTAACACAGTTTCAATGGGGCTTATGACAAATTGCTCTTGTTGCAAAAATTGGTTACGTGATGTGGTTTGAAGCAATAAAAGTAAATTCTTGGCGGTTTTGGTGTTGATTGTCAGAGTTTAAAGATAGACATTACAAAAACGTAATTTGGAGACGTTTTGTAACTGAAATCTGTGATAAAAGTGCAAAAAATGAAGATGTTTTTGAAGTAGATAATCTTACGGTTTGACGTTCACTATTATTTGACCAAAAGCACATGCAACATTGAAAACTGAAAAATTCTTTCTTGGATAATTTTACGGCTAAATCTCAGGCAGTGAATCCCAATACTTCACTTTAACTTAATAGCAAAAGATAGTTAGCCATTTGCATTTTTCAGTATTGTATTGTGTCGTATAATGGTGCTTTCGGTTGAAAAGAAAAAGCTGGGCAGATTGGTTAAACAAAATCAATTGCTAACATATATATACGAGTGATATTCATCCAACATTTTATGTATCAACTCGAAAAATAATTGCAAGAAACGAATTTTTAGTTTGAGGTAATATTATAATTCAAAGCGTTCCAATTTTATATTAATTTTAACATCTTCTAGCATTATATATACTTCATCGCGTTGAATCAGAGGTTTTGAGCAATTTTCTTTATTGAAGAAGTCGAGAAATCTAATGGTATGGTATAGCACGCCCAGTTTCCCATAACCGTAGGTGGTTCGGGTTGTGAGATTAAGCTAAATAATATTTTTGTTTTTAGGAGAGCAAGACAATTTTCAATGAATTAGGTAAAAGTAATTTGTATATATATGATCTTAATCAATTGATATGAAATCTATTTATGGGACAGGTGTTGGATTAGAAAAAAATCGTTTGATCGTAAAGGCTACTTGCCAATCTGTTTTGTGAGGGTCATGGGAAACGTTACTTGAATGAAATGAATAATAATAGGTAATCCAGTTTATTTGGTGCAGAAACGATTGCCCAGGTGACAAGAAATCCGATTAAGAGAGAGAATTAGATTTAAAAAAATTAACAATGATAGTTGAGTTAATATTTGAAATAAACTGTAAATACTGAAGTAATTTTACATCTTACGTTTATCACTGTATAAATGAATGTTGCATTACGTCACCTCATCCGTTGTGTTTTCGTGAATATAAATGAGAAATGACGTGACTCCAAAAATAACGTCCTGAGTACTTGCATAGTCTTACAGATGGGCCACAGATAATCTTTTCCGTAAGTATTTTATTATCCATGTGCCATCTTTAACGGGTTTCAAGTGTTGAAAATAAAGGAGGAAGTTTTGTTCCATCATCGCCTAAGATTTTGAATACAATTTATTGCATTTCTGTCTTGAATCGGTCCGTGGCGCTGAATTTGTTACAAATTTTTAAACAGAGTTTCAATGGGAAGGTTGTTAATTAAAGGAAAGAAAACATTAGAATCTAATAAATGAAGACTCAGTGACCAAAATTATAGTATCATAGGAATTCGTGAGGGTCCAATCCGTCATTTTGAACACCTTATTGATCACCTAAATATATATTATTTTATTCCAACTTATGTAAAATTTTGTTGACACGCATAATTTGTTGATTTTGGAGATTTTACGACGCAGTAATAAATGTGACGTCATGTTGTAATTGGCAAGATTAAATCTTTCTAGACTTGACTTTGATCACGTACCGCCGTTTTTGATTTTTCTTTGCATTTAGAAATGAAGTTGAAGTAAGATTAATACGTAACTATAACCGATGGTGTTACGTTCACTAATGCATAGTGTCCTGACGATCTGACAATAAACTTATGAATGTAGATCTTCGTAAATTTTTATAGACTGATTTTGAATGATTTGAAAGTGAGCCATACCGGTGTGATTACGACTGTGTAGTGATTTTAGTTTTCACAGTTTCGCAAGATGCACTGTATATAATGCGCTATTGATGACGGCGCATCTGGCTTCATACTGTTTTAATCTACAGAAACAATTAGGACAGGTAAATAGGCATTTAATCCGCTACCGGCAATTAAATCGCACGAATTGTTTGGCTACTTTTTGGTAAATAATTTCTCTAATTCGTTCGTTAACTAATGTAAGAAAATTTGTTTGCGCCATGTTATTCTCTTCAGAAATATTTTCAAGAGCATTTTAGAAAATATCTTGCGTTTTTGTCAGGCATGTTTCAGTACCAAATAAGGAAAGAATTTACTTAAGGATTTTATGTTAATTTAACTGAATTTGAGTTATACCTAGCTTAGACGTTATACTCCGCCTGATGCGTATAAAACACATTTACCACTAGTATTTTTTCTTTTCATCTCTTTTAAAATTGACAGCTATTAACTTACATCCATGTCAGGTTGACACGTAGGTCAAACTCAACTATTTTAGGTCCGTTTGAAACGTGATCTTTTCAATCAGCAAAAAGTCTTATTTCAGAAAAAGTAGTTCAAAACGTTTTTTTTTTTGCAACGTCAAAATTTTATTCAACGAAATTGGCTCATTTTGTTTAATTCAACATTGCAGCAATCTAGTAACATTTTAGAATGTAACTACCAATCGATGCATACTTCGGGATTTCATCCTACGACAAAATACGGTTTCGAAAATTACCATCGGCACCTGTGTGTCGGTTTTGATAGTTATTTTGTCTGCCGTTGGACCATAATCCGCTCACACTAATCCAATTTTTTCTACCGTTCAGAAATGTTTCATATATTCTGATCTACCACTTTGACATAAGTAGGCCTACATTCCTACGGTTGGATTGGTATTTTAGAGTAAAGTACATATTTAAAAGGATACGGTTGATAATTCAAAACAACGGGCTATCCATGCAATGGGATATGTTATGCTTTAAAACGTTAAACAATATTTGAAGTTGCCGAAAATTTGGAAAAAGGTACGTCACTTCATAATAGTAGTCAAGCAAAATACCATTTCTGAATTATTTTCAACCTATGATGAAACTAATAATTCAATTCATGTGCCGGTAGATAAAACAAGTCTCGACCTATAGCTAATTTTTTGTGTAATAAAACGAATTTTTTATTGAATCTCTGGCAAAGTTAAACGATTTGCTTTGAACACAAATCCGAGGTGACGCGATCATTTTCAATATTGAGTGTATTAGCAGCTGACAGTTCCGGCATCGTTCTCTACGTTGAAGTCAATGCAATATTACAATACACGCGATTCCATGTATACTTGTAATCACCGCCAAACATCTGGAAACGAAATGTTTAGTTCGACTATTGTACATTTGCTGTTATAAGATATTTGCAAATAATCACTTTCGTATCCTCAACTTTAAAAACATAGTAATAGTTTTGGCTTTGAAGTAAATTTTCAAGACAGTCGGTTTATTTTTATTTTTTTCAATTATATTTGTCATTTAGTTAAAAGTAAGCAAATGACATCATGCGATTTTTAATAACACGTTGCCTCGGAAAGAAGATTTTACCTAAACTTTTATACTTTGAAGCGCTCTTGAATTTGATTGATACCAGTTGCTTAATTGTGAAATTTACATTTTTCTAATTATGCTATCATCTGTTTGCAGCGCGCATCGTTATCTTTAGCTCAGACAAAAATGCTGCTACAACACGATTTTAACCAAACCACATTCGTGGTGTATTTCATCATGTTTATTTTAACTTTTTATTGACGGCTTTTGTTCTTAACTACTTGTTATCTATTTTCAGGATCACCTGCTGAAAAGGCTGGGTTACAGAAAGGAGACGAATTGCTTTCTTTAAACGGACTTGACATAACGTAAGCTGGCTTGAATTTTTTTTTCAATATGCTGAGGTTTTAACAATGCTCACGAAACGATTTCAAAAGCTATATAACTCGGCACTTGTGTATATGGTAGAGCATCTCGGGTTTTGAATTACTAACTGCATGTTCCCTATTTTTTTTAAATAATTTTTGTGTAATGTATAATGGAAAATCATTTAATTGTTAAAAAAAGACTCGAGCGTTTGAGAATTCGATATATACATCAACACATTTAGCAATCATCTCTGTTAATACTTCAAAATATAAATTCGAATGCCAGCAAGTTTACAACTGAAACATGAACTCTGTAGTAAGCTTTTCATTCGTCATCTGAAGTTTGTACATTTTTTAAACATCCAGTCATTGTCGGTGGTCTTGTTTTTGTTTTCCAAATCAGCAAATGGTGAGAATACGGCGTCTGTTTAATGTTACGAAATTTAATAGGCAACTGTAAGTTGCACTTGAATTTGAGAAGACAGGAAGTCTGTTTCTGAACGACAATGAATAAATAAATACCCATGTGTTAGGTCTTGTACATTGCATTGTAAAACATTGATTTTTTTTAAAGAACAGAACAATTTGCTCAACTGAATTTTATTATCCAAATTTTATAGTCGTCCTTAAAAACCACAGTACAAATGAATAGAACAAAATACGCGCCCTGTCCCTTTCGGACTGTAATTTTGGTATGAGTGATCAGTACTCAACATTCATTTTTACGAATTTATTTTCTGGGCTCGATAAAACATTTAAAGATACGTTTCCACGTAGCTATCTTTCTTCATTATTTCCCGCTTATCCATCGATGTTTCCATAAAGAAGAAAATAGAACTTGACCTGAGGTGATCGTGGGCGGACCATGACTCAATCTACCAGACTTGAGATATCATACGTTAATCCCAACCAACAATTCAAATTGAAACTGGACCTACTTGACCTCGCGACCCTCGAAGACGATAATTTTACGTGACGCGGATCATTCGCTCAGTCCATAATTATATATAGAACCTAAAATGATATTATTTATGGCGGTTATCGCTCATTTTATAATCCACCTATCATCCTAGTTATTTTTGAGCTTGTTTTCGCCCTCCTACGTTTAGGAAATTTATGAAATTATTTGAAATTGAAGAAGAAATTTTCAAAAGTTATATGGGTTTGTTTACGAAAAGATAATTCGAGATATTGTTAGGACAGGCTTGTAATTTAAATGCTATTGAAAATATTGTCACATATTTCGATTAAACCAAGAACCATCTACTTGAAGTTAAACTTAGTAATATCGCAATATAGTGAATGAAATAATAAGAACTACATTTTTTAATATCATACGATGGATTATATGGTTCACCGTGGACAATATGATGATGTCTGTCTTCTTCCTCTTGTTAAATGACACCAGTTATTTCGAAATGTATACATTTTCACAAATTGAGTAGAATTAAATATTCTTACTAAAATTTAAAAAAATAAGGCAGTGCAAAATAATTTTGACAAAAAAAGTTTGCTGGTGTGTGCTGTGATTTTATTTTTTTTTTCATTGTTTTGGTGATTAAATATTGATTGATATCAGCATATGAAAACTATTATGTGGGCTGGGAATATCAAACATTCGCACACTTGCTTTTATAATCATTATATAAACCTTATCTCTTTGTCACAAAACATGATTGATTCATTCGTCAGCAAATATGGACATTTAATGGGTAAATGAAAATTAAGTAATGTTGGTACATGAATAGATTGATCTTCCATATTCCATTCGAGTAATTTGCAAGCACATACTAACGAGAAGCAAATGTGTGCCGATCAGTTTACTCAAGTGAAAGAAAATCTATCTACCTATATGGTGATTATGATTTTCCCAGACAAAATAAAACACTTATTTCAAAAATGTAATATGTATCATTTATTTTAAACCCTTTTTGGATAGAGTTTTTTTTACAAATGGTCCAATTGGTAGTCTTTAAACTGAGCATGTATTTTCTAAAACCATTTATTAAATAATTTCTGGGCTATTTTAGGGTAACTAATTGAGAAGAAAATACAATGTTTCAGTACAGTAAACTTCATGTAAATTATAACATTGGAATCATAAAACGTTGCAAGTTCAAGTTCGCATTTGATCGATTACTTCATCGTAGCCTAGACGAGTCAAGTCTGGTTTAAATTTGTTTTGAGGAATGTTAGTTAAGTTAAGGAAACCAGAAACGTAATTTATCAAGCTGAAAAGTAACCGGGAGTATAAACATTGACTCATATCAATTTGAATCTACAATTTGTCTGCTTTATACTGAATATAGAATATTTAGTTTCCAGGACTGATAAAAAAAAACGAATTGTGTGTAACGTATACAGTTCCGTTGTCTAGTTGTTGATTATATACGCTTAGAATATTACCTCCCTAATCAAAGGTTTATCTATTCATCAATCAGAGGAATATGATAGAAATGTTACCGCTAAAATGTAAACAGCATAAAACATACAATCAAAGTTTATTTTCCGATTGGTAATGTAGCACTCCAAAAATATAGGTTTGGTCGCATTTTCCCAAACTTCCAAAAGAAAAAATTTGATCATTGACTGCAAGCATCGTCTAATTAATTTATTGTAGATTTTATGCATCAAATTTACATAGTCCACCATTTGTCGTTATTCATCATTGTGCACAATGTGTATTTTAGCATTTACATTTGATGTTTGTTACCAAATAATTGTTCACAGCTAAATTTTACACCTGCGAGATACTTTTGTTTGTAATCTATTAAACTTAACAGATTCCAAATTTCCATAAACCATTACACTTCAATTTGAATATAGGCATCATTAATTCTTCAATAGCTTGTTTAATTATCCGCACAATTTGGTTATAGCAAATGATAGAAGGATTTTAGTCATGAACACTATAAAATGTTGTCCAATTGCGGCTACAACTGTGGTTTTACAATTCGCGATTAGGGTCATATTTCATAATTCGAATTAGTTGGTGTTAGTGTGCTAGTCTGTTCCGTCGCAGTAGAAGAAAAAATGTTGTTTCCACAAAAGCCCTAATTTTGCACATTCCTCAACATTATCGATATCAATCGCATTTTGGCTGCTTAGTATTTGATTATGATCGACTGTATTTTATTCCAAGTAGTATTACCCACAATGGTCAAGTCTTAGCAAAACAATATCCAACAACGACAATTCCCACGATCTGCTCCCATTGAGGAGAAAATAATCAACGTCCCATCATGCATGATTATGCTTGATTTGTAACTAATGAATAATTTTGTGAACCGTAAAACTAGAATACTAATCGCCTTGAATCGCAATCGGAGTTATATGACGTCAGCTGTGTGCCTTTAAAAAATATCGACAATTCTCTAAACTTTCAATGTAATCACGTCTGCAGTCTGTTATTTTTTCAAACCTGAGTATAACTACATTTTTGAATATGAACATAATGTCAGTTGATAGATTTGGTATATCGGGTCCTGGATTTCTAATTTCTAGTATTAAGCAAAATTGAATTTCCATATTCAATTCTCAGAACGAATATTTAATTCAGTTACAGATATATTTTATTATTAGGTTATTCCACCTATGGAGTCGTATGTACAGCTTTTAAAACAAATACTTTAAGTTTATACACTGAAAAGATTCACAAACATATGGCCACAGTATTAAAAGGCAATATAACTTGTTAATTTTAATAAGGATTACAATCCAGGAAACTCAATCGTAGTCCAAATAACATATTGTATCAGACTTCCTCTGCGTAAGCTGCTAAAATCTCTCACGACAACAATATCGAATAACTTAAACCGATTAACAAGTTGAATGATTTATGGTAGATTTAGGTTTTATTCAAATTGACTATATCGAATGTCGTTAGATGTGAGAAAGAGTAAAGCACAGAAAATCCTGTAAAATTTGAAATAGTGTTTATATTTATACAATAAGATTTGATTTACTTCAGGTGGTATCCTATTATGGTTGTCTGCTAGAGCGCCGTCTCAGCTGTTTGCGCCTATCTTGAATTGGATGCGGTAAAAACAGAATATCGCCAAAAAGTAAGCAAATTTAAGTGTAAGCTTTGCTTTGAGTATAATTTAGTTTTAGTGTGTTTGAAACTAGCAAGCTAATTTTAAAGTAGCGTAAAATGTGAACATGAAAACAACTGTCAACATATTGATATTACTTGTACACTGGCATCATTGATATCATTGTATATATGCCTACATCGTTGTGTTTGGTAAATAAAGGGAAATAGGTAAATAATACAAATTGTTCAAAAAGCTGACAAACTTAGTATAATCAAATTTCATTTCAATGGCGAATAAAACTTCTTCCTGTCAGAATGCGACAGGATTACAAGTTTAACAAGAAGTCATTTTAAATGTTTTAGATTACGGTTAGCAGATACATTACAACTTGACTTTTTCACTCTGTTTTTAGTAAAATTTGAAATTTTTTTAACCGTTTTATTTTGATATTAATATACGCCAACATCGTATATTTGACATAAAAATCAGATGTGCCCCATATCTTGCGCAGGTTCCGCTAGTATTTGTGTATTGACAGATTTAAAGCTGTAAAATACCTGTATAAAACCTTTATTAAATTATGTATTTCGATTAAATTTATGTCGACCGGAACGGAATCTCACAATAGCGTATTTAGAAGAGGTAACCCCAGAAACTGATTCTGAATTACGTAATAAAAATAGACGATTCTGTCAGCTGGAATTACTGGAGACCTTTGGCAATTCATATATATATATATGTGCAGTGAAGCTGAGGAAATCTAACATTCTGAAATATTTTGATCAATTTTTGGACGTTTCGATAATACAGATATATTGCGCGGCATGAAAATGAGAAGTAATTTATTCAGCTTTCATTTGTATATATTTTATCAGAATCATAGGTCGAGATGGTTTAAAATATTTGGATTACTGTTAAGCACACTGACCCTATTTCTCGAATTAGTTCGGGTTCGGGCGCCGGTTAACAATGTCATCAGCTCATGCAAGCTTTTTGACCCCAAAAGTCATATTTGATTCTATCTATGTTCACAAACAATCAAACCCTATACATTTAATTGGCCGTTTTTGCAGGAATCTAAGTAAATAAAAATGGACCCAATATGTCCGCGATGTTCATCGTGGTGCCCTTATCTTCTCATATGCTGATAATTGCATTCACGTAACTTTTAAAAAGTGAATGCAAGTTAGTAAACTTTATTACGAGGCATCCATCCTTTGGTTAGCCGTCGAACGGTATTCGTCTGCTACACCCCACATGCTTCATTACCAGTCAGTCTACACGCTTGACTTCTAGTCAGCTTTCGCAATAAATCTCACATACTATTTGATATTAGTCAAGCATTTTTGACAAGTTTGTCACAAATTGACCGGTTATTTTGGGCAAAACAACTAAAAGCATCCGCTTTTGAAGTGTTTTTACGTCAGTGTGATTTGCGTGAACGCAAACAGAATGACTCTTGTTTTAGCCGTCATGTGATGCGTCTTTAGGTAGCAGAAACAACTCGTAATAATGAGTTTTTCTCAATAACAAAAATTTCCACTGATTCTGCGAGATAGTTGTATAAATGCGCAGTTCAGTAGGCTAAGTAAAGATGTATTAGCATGAAAAAATATCTTTTGCCAATATTATTTTCTTTCCCGAGAATATTCTGCACCCAGGCCCATATAAATGATAATTGAATTTTCCCTTGGTGTGTTATGTTTAAGTTTTTGAACAGTGTAGCATTCCAAGAAATATTGTTAATTACTCTTTATAGACACACAAATTATTAACGAGACAATAACAATAATTTGAAGTATTTTTCGTATTGCAGGCACGTTCCACACGAACGGGCGATAGCACTATTACAAGGAAGCGGCTCCATGCCAACATTAGTGATTCAGACGACTTCGGGTGCATTGGCCCCACCAGGTAAGCAGCTGAGTTGTTTTAGTCTCCAGTTAAATTTAGAGCAATATCACATGATACCGAATGTCACGACATCAAATCAATATTACTAACCGTATGAGGTTGTAATATGAAACCTATTTTCCTGTTTTTGAATTACAATTCATTTATTTTTTGTTATTTACATCCCACGCATAGTATTTTTCATGAATCATTGAAATTTATTGTGTTTCAAATCATCATTCTCTTATATAATTTACACTGATTACTACTCTGTTAGTGAAATATTCATTCACGAAGAAAAATGAGAAACCAGTAATAATTAGGAAATTGCATTTCATCATCCACCTATAAAATGGCCAGAAACTCATTTTTTAAGTTTTCATTCACATTATTTGTTAGTGGTATTAAAAATTAATTAATGGGTCTATTTTGACAATTATGAAACTAGAATAAATTACAATAGTTGGAATAAAATTAAATCATATAATATTTAGAGAAAAACGAACAGAAAATGAATTGCAGATTACTTATGTAACTTTTCCTTATATCGATCTATCCAAATCGACTCATTCATCATATCTTGCCAAACGACGACACGGCTGTTTTAAAATCAGTTCCAAAGACAAGCTGGCTTGTTGATAACCATAAATATTATATCCATATCATTCTTCAAAAGTCAGATACCATTACTTCGGCGGAAGTGGTTTACCATAAAAGCAAGCCTGCACGTTAAATGATTAGATTTTCGTCGCTAAATGTTTCTACGATCTTGCGTGATCGGTTGATTACAAGCTGAGAATGAAGTTTATTGAAGAAATATTTCCACAACGTATCGTTACGTTAACTTCACTCTGTGTTGTTATAATTCGTTTGTAGATATTTCTCAAGTACTCTTATGGAAACAGCCGGAATTCGATTTTATCGTTTAGGAAAATGTGATATTTTTGTTGAAAGCTTGAATGCGACAATATAGGTACTTTAACATTGAAGATAAATATGTTCGTCTCTCAAAATGTTGGAAAGCATATATTTGCGGTTTAAGTATGCCAACTGTATCAAGCTGAACATGTATGAAAAAGACAAAGATTCATAGGGACGCCGAGATTATGTTTAGGTCTCAAAGTATATATAATTCCAAGTCACTCATTTGTGATTTCGAATATTTTACAATAGGAACAATGAAAGCATTATTGTATTTAGATACAAAAAATCTAGTTGAAAAATTGACGTCGAATTCATGTGAGTCGAAGTTTCGACTAAGGTTTCAGGCGGAGTGTGAACATTCCTGTCGTAAAAAATAGCGTTGGAAAATATAAGTATTCTATATATTTTTCTATATGCTTTTACCAAAGGCAGTGGAAATATCAATCTAAATACAATGAAAAAATACTTAAAATTTCAAGTTCCCAATGAATTCATATTATATTTTTGTAGGAACGTCGCTGCATCAAATGCCGTGTCACGCTTCTCCTGCAATTGATCCTCAAATTTTTACAACGCTCGAAAACATGCCTTTATCAACAAAGCCAACTATTACATCACAAGTGACCAATGATGAAAGAGATCAAAACAACAATAACAATAGCGATACCAAGGGAACATCTCCGATGAAAGTTACAAAATTGAACGCAACTTGGACCCATAAATATGTTTCACCTGACTTCAAGATTCACGGAGAAAATTTTGATCAACATGTGAGTATACTGATGCACTTTTTTATTCAATTTCGTACAAAAACAGTTTAGGAGTTTTGAACTGGAGAGTAATTTTTTATGTTTCATCAATGACTACTACTCAAGTAAAAAGTGCTTTGAAGTAAAACGTACCAGAAACTTGTATTTTGTTATATATGTAGTATACGTAATATGGATCTTGATTATTCAAATTTGACCAAACTTTGTGAAATAAGCATTAAAAGGTGTGACGTTTTATTTTCAAAGTTTTCAATTGTATTTGTTTCTACATTAGCTCCACAATCTTCTCATGCCAAGTGAAAGGAGAATAGTAAAGAGAGCAATGGAAACCTATGATACCAACAAAAATATGGATAATCTATTGCTGTCAATAAATTCAGTTTTGGATAATCCACATAAATGGCCTGTCTGGTATTTTATTGTGCAATCATTAAAAGGAAAAGACAGAGGCACGTGTCGAAGAAAACTTGCAGAACTGTTACAGAGCCAAACATCGGGTAAGTTATGTCTTAAGAGCAAAACCGTCGATTTCAGCATACATGTGCTGATGGCTATTTTTAGAGAACTATTGAATACAATGATTTTAATATTCAGATACTTCACATATATCAAAACAAGATTTTTCTGGGGGAACTTCGACCAACGAAGGGATGTCATGCCAAGATAATTCCAAGGAAACAGCAAACACAAGAAGTAAAATTCGCAGAAGAAGGACTATGCGTGCTAGTTACAATCGGGAACAATGTGATGATATGAATGAACGTTCTGTCGTGGATTCAAACAAAATTGAACCGGCTGCTAGTCCCAGTCCTGATAGAGACACCTTTCGAGTTCGACGGCCTCGAAGACGTCGCACCGTTTCGGGGATCGACTTGAGCAAATCATACGAGACTACACACAACCCTAGCGACATCTTGCGGATTGAAGAACCTGATGAAATAGAAACGCACCTACCAGCAGATGTCGACACAGAACCCGTATTCTCACAAAATGAAAATACAGTTGGAAATGGGTTTCATACCACCGGTCGTAGCTTACGTCGCCGACGGCGAGACCCCATGTTGCGTCGATTACAAAGTGCGGAATCGGTGCATGCACAGGAAATCAGCATGGAACGCGATGCCCTAACAGCTCGAAATTCTATGCCTTTCGTTACCACCCCCGAAGAACAACATACAGGATCCCTGAGAGCACGTCGAAGACGCTCATTCCGTCGGTCGTTAGATGGTACTAACACTCTTTCTACCAAAGATCCAATCGGTTGTCACGAACGGGCAGCACTCATTGTAAGACGTAGATCGGAACAGGCGTGGACGGAAAAACCACAAGAGACCCATATTGATTCTTACATCAGACCAGGTACTGCTCGTTTTGTAAATTCTATTTATGTAATATTTGTATCGTGGTTTTAGCATTGCTTCGTCTTTTCGAACAAATATACAAACTAAAACAATGCACTCCAGTTTAATATACAAAATTCTGAAGATCGATTCATTATATCTCCATGTCGATAATGATTCAGCTTCTCGCCTTTGATCGAGTTTCATGTGACAGTAATTGATCTGAGTCACATAATACTATTTATAAATTACAGATATTATTGAATCGCCTACTCGCTATTAATTGGGCACTTCTAATATGATGAATATATACATATGCACATTGTTAGTTATAAACGCCGTAATACTAATTCTATTTGATTACAACCTATAATTTATTTTAGGAAAAAGAACAACATAAACAACATAAATTTTTGTTAACTACAGAATTTAATATATTATTAAAAATTTTATGTCGCATACTGCAGTAGCTTGACGTTTTTTGAAATGTTTACTTCATCCGCCTACAAAGTACTTCTACCGATAAATCGATCAACAAAATTGTTCTGATCCAAGAATCAAAACATCTTGTTCAAATAAAACATATTCATGCGAATGAAAAGTATCAAATATCTTTAGTTTTACACTTGACACGTCACCGAGATAATCAGAGATTTCAAAACTTCATGTCTTTTTAATTTATTAGGTAGAAGAAATTAGGTATATTGAACAAAACTTGACAATGATAAATGCAACAGAAAATCACTACATTAAACTTAAATATGGAGTAAATGCAGATAGAATAAATTCGTAATGTCTATTTCCGTCTTTACATATTCTATCCGTCCATTCACAAAGTGGCTAATAAGCGCAAAAGAATGTGGAATATTTTGAGTGTATGCAAGCGTCGACTGTCACTGTATCAATATCAATTATGCTGACGCCAACGAAAATGTTTTAAAATTGCAGCTTTAAGCTTTTAAACATAAATTGCGCGTGTGAGTATTTAGCGTCGTACAAAACTGCACTGCTCATCGCTCAATTAGTGTCAAAACTGGGTCTGTCAATACAAACAGGATGGCAAATGTAATTTTGAAAACTTGTCACATTATTTGAGAAACGATGTTTTAAGAACGTTAAATCAAAGCAAAACACGAAGTGTCATACCTAATGTCTACTACGGGTTTGCGAATTCATTAAGTAAATATAATCCAAAGAGCTGGGAAACTGCGAATGAAATTGAGTGGTGTTTTTACTTTTTGTGAAAATATAAAATTGATCATGCTTATTTTTGAAAAGTAATTTGTGTTTAGCATATTTAAATTAGCTTGACAAATGTCACGTTTTGTGTCCAACAAGTGCAAGTCCAACTGAAATCCAAACAGGAAAATATAAAAATGTTCGTCCCTGGTACAAAATATGGCGCAGTAAAATCAACGATTTATTACGTAAATAACTAATACAAACACGTTGATTTTTCCGGAGGCCACACACATACTTTAAATCTGTGGATACGTACACCAAATTGGCATGCATTTTCCAAGTAGAGATTAAACGCATATTAGCATTTCTGAATACGAAAACAGTTAATAGTGAAAATCCGCAATGGTCCACGAGTAAGGTATAGTCACAGCGCTGCATTGCCTGCATCATCATGTAATAACAATGTACTATAAACCCACGAGATGTTGGTGAAGCAACGTAATTAGAAATTGAATGTGGGTCAAAGGTCATGCAAGGGGCAACGAGTCACTGCAAAATGCGTCATATTGTTCTAAAACAAAAAAGAGGTATTCTACAGTATTTTGTTTTAAATCAATTTTACAGTATTTAATATCGATTCAGACAAAAGCAATAAAAACCATCGACAGCGCACATTTTCAGGCCATGTATGGTTGTGAAGCAATTGAGAAGTATTTGACTCCGACGTCACAAAAAAGTCATTTTTGCCAAAACCAGGTGCGAGTTAATCTTCAAGTTCTTTCCAAACCCAAATCACCCGCAAAAAAAAATTTCTAGCTCTAGTGTTTTAACCAAAAACGAACTCGACTAGTTCACATCTAATTTAACAATGGCAAGAGTTTGCTATATAAACAAATGTCGCCCGAGAAGTACGAACTCAAAATTCTATGGTATGTGTACACGATGTTTCTCAAAAACATTCCATTTAAATTTGATTCTAAGCTAGTATACATGATTTTTTTTATATGCCAAAAATAAATGCAAAGAAAAATTGTTTCAATAGGAACGTCTATGTAGACTTAAAGAATCTAATCTTGAAGAACAAAAAAAAAATGAAAACAAGTGTCCACTTATTAAGGAACACCTTCCATTATATTAACGCCTTCAAATAGTAGATATATTACTGAAAAGATATCAAAACTAAATGGATTTCAACTATTTTGCGTACTTAACCTGTAACAAGAATTCTTCCGGTTGATATTTTGTTTAGAAATGGGTAAATTTTTTGTGGCGCCGTTTGGGATATGGGGCACATGCTATTTTAAAAATAGCAGCGGACCGTAGAGCCTGTGAATAAGTGTTTACGTTCAGTTATGTGAGGCCTACTATATACTACGTCAATGGAATCTTAACGGAGCATTAAAAACGAATATCGCAATTCAACGTGAACCTTTAATCCTGAGTAAAGCTTAAAAGTGACTGAGTGCGTTAAACCGGGGCTTAGAAAATTGAAATTACTTAAAGTTGTGACACTAATAAAACAGAAAAATAATTGAAATACTTCAATATTAGCTTCGTTCTTGGGATAAAACACATTTAAAAAAGAAATCGTAATTTTAAGCAGCGTTTGACAGTGTGGCTTACAAGATATTTAGACGCTAATAATATTTATCGTATAAACCTATTGGCGCAGAACAATGGCACTCCAGAAGGGGGGAGTTAATTCTTTGCAGGTTGGCTATGTGGGTAACAAACACTATTTTAACACATTTATGTGATGCGATGGTATGTTACGCGCTTCAAAAACTGGTGGGTAAGCTGGTGTTCAAAGGGTTTACATATCTAGACACGGGTAACTTGTCCCGTTACAAGTGTTTTGTTGGAGCTAAAACTCTTCGCATTTTTTCGTGTTTTATCTTTTTTAAATACGCACACAAGTACCCCTTTGTGGATACTCGCGTGAACCTTCGCGGTGCACGCAAGCATAAAGGTGTCATTTTACATTGACATACGGCCAAAAACGTTCAATTCACTTGCATTCCATGCATCAGTAAACCAGAATCCGTTTAAAGTATGTGAAAATATTGTGAAAGCACATTATTTGTTTTACTTGCCTAATACTATAATTTATTCAAATTAAATTTATCTCAACTTGGGTTTTTGTTTTCACCGTGGTAGTTTTACAGAAAGCCTTGCTACGTAATGACTTTTTATTAAACTAATAATGCATCTGACTAATTGATCATTTTTGTGAATTTTTTAGCGATTTCAGTACCCTGACAGATTTTTAACAGTATCGTGACACATTGATTGTTAACAAGATAAAGCGAAACACGAGATGAGTTTTTCGCCAAATACTGTGTTAAAAAAATCTTTTTTTTCTTTTTTCCCGGACGAAGGTGCGACACAGTCGGAGGAAACCACGCGTAGCAGACGAAGAAGAACAGCCGCCAACCATCAATATAGTAACCGAACAGTTGTACCGGAGACGAGCATAGACGGTAAACAGTCTTATTTTATAGTTTGTATACATTAGTTGTTGAATTACAGATTAATGTTAGTATATTATCAGTAATTATATACTTGACTATCATTCTATTATTTCGCATGCATTACTACATGACAGCATTGCAGTAGAATTTTTTTTATAATTAGTAATCAGTAATTAGCATTCAGCAAATTTGTCATTTAGAGTTTTTGTCTGAGTGTGGGTAAATGATAGAGCGAACAACTTTAGTGCTTTAGTAGAGAGTCCTTAGTGCTATTCTAATTTACTATTTAATTAAAAAAATTAATTGAGTTGAGATTTTTTCATTTTCCCTAATTTGTTTAAAATTCTCATGGCATATATATGGTTTATTCATTTTTATATTATCCACTTTTTGAATAAGATGATTTTAGAAGCTTTCTGAGTATGTTTTCAATTCAGTTTGTTGTGGCATATCTTTAGGCAAAACACATTTGAACTCTCTTGCCTTGCCGGTTTAGAGAAAATCAACCCGTTTTATATAGCTTCTGGCTTGTTTTATAAATAGGAAACCGTTTTACATAAAATTGTGTTATGATGTTTATATTCCACTTGTAAAACTAAAACACTAAACAGTCGATTTATGCGACTAAGCTTATGTTTTGCTGAATATCAGAAAAAATTATAAAATTGTGTGCAATAGAAACATGATTTAAGTAACATTTTGCAACCTAGAATAGGGTGTAAATCGGCTTTCACTTTCTTCGAATAATATATATATAATGAATATTTAAATTTGGATAATTTCCGATTTTTTTTTTAAACATTTCATACTAGACTGCAACAGACACTCCATCTTCATTATCCTATTTTCCAAGAACAGCATCACAAATTAAACACACAATTTTGATGGCTTAATTCACCACGGATTAATACCATCGATTTGAGCCTTGTTACAATTACACATTACATTCAACACGTGCTTAAGTAGGTATTAACACAGATTACTTTTGGTGGTGTTCAATTAAGAGGAGTGTGCCAGTCGGATTTACGAGTTTTGTGTACTTGGTGAAAAGTTAGACAATGGTAGGAGGAAAGTGTTTGATAGCTCCTTTCTATTGAAGGATGTTCAACTAGGACTGTTTCCTCTTTGCGGTCGCAGGACAGATTTAGTTTAGGGCATCTCTGAGTGTGATCTAACTAGATGTGAAAACTAATTACCAGTTTAAAAATTGTTTATCTTGTAAATTTGTATTATTGGTAATGTTTAATAAAGTCTGGGGCATGAAAATTGTCCAAAAAAATTAACGAGCAATAAAAATTATAATGACGTCAAATCATCACAATAGAGGGATGTTGCAAATTTAAAATGGTAATTTGGAATGAATATTCGGCAATCCAAGCCTATGTACGAAATGCCTTTTAAAAGCATTTTTAAATCCCTCAATACTTAGGTAGCTTTTTCATTTTTCAAATTTGCGCAATACCATGTGGATGATGACGGCTTTCCTAGCTTCAAATCCTGTGAGACTTTCCTGTTGTAGTTTGCAAAACAATTGGGTTACAGAATTTATTTAAACATTTTATCAATGTTATCTCATCGATACACGATAACGACAATAATCTTATCTTTGCATTGTGGGTTACCCGCTTCCTTTCAAGGACAATAACGTAGGTAATATGACGCAAAGGCAACATTCTTGGGGAATGTCGACAGGATGAAATCACGACTTTGTGGATTTTTTCTTTAAAATCAGTCATTTGATCAAATTATTATTTCAATCATAAACAATTGAACAAATTAACCCTTATGTTATAGAATCTCCGATGTAGAAGGTGTACAGTATATCGATATGTTTTTCCAATACAGAAGATAGCATACGATTTTTTAAAAAATTATTAACAATATCTTACAAGTTGCTCTTTAGCAAACTCTTTTATTTTAAATGCTAGCATTTTGGGATCGTTTCTGACTATATCAAGATGAAACTAAATATTCAATAGCTATCTACCTTACTTAATGAGTATTTATAAGATGAAGTTTCCAAATTCGTTGAAATTATTCATTTCTCTAGAATGTTAACCTGAACCCCAAGATAAATTACGAATAATTAATACTGAATGGGTTAATATTTTATGGCAGTAATGTACATTAACGCCTCGGGCTTACAATGTCTATAAAAACATACAAACTGAATACGAATTCAAGTTCGTCCAATATTTCTAACTTTTTAGATCAATACCAGTGATATGTCACTATTATCATAAAATATTACGAGATTAATGATGAAGAAGAGATTTTAGATAAATATTAAAATTTCTATTTCCATGAAGATAAACATGAAATTTGTAAAAAATATTCAGTTCATTTTTGTCAAAGTCGCATTGACATTGACTAAGAAAAGTTTTTTAAAAATTTATGTAACAAGCTTATTTCATCATGATAATATGACATTTTTATTACTCAAGGTGATGTTAAATATTGTTATATTGCGTTCAATCAAAATTAAAGGGCGCATGCACATAATATTAGCGTTTCATCTATTGCTGTAGGCAAACAAGAAGGATCATGGAGGCGACGAGTTCTTTGCTGAACCTCACTTAGTTTTATTACTCGGGTACAGTAGAATTAGACAATTTTCGTAAATAGTGTAGTATATCAGCAGTTTAATGTTCCAAGATGAATGTCCTTTTGCATTTAGTGTCGCCTTTAGCAGTTAAACATTTTCTGATATCACTTTATTGCGATAGCATCGTCACGGCGAATTAAGACATTATAATGACTTAAAGATCAGATTAACAATCTGGATACTTCTTATACTAACTGCTGATATTCAAAAGATCATGTTAAATCAAGCATGGCAATGGGGTTAAAAAACAACGTTGATGTGTTAGACTCAAAAGAGCTGATAAAGTATCGGATTTGGACGAGTTCACATGACTGATATTACCGTTTGGTGAGAAATTATTGCTTTGAAAACAGCTGCGAGTTGGTATAAAGATCTTATTAGTATCAAAAGAAGAAGTCTTTTCTAAACGCTGCACAACTTTTTCAGTATAGAATTTGTCTGCTCCCATATTTTAAAAAGATACCTACTCAAGATAATATTGAGCGTAAATTTCGTTCACAGAATGACATTGCGTTGTTTTCACTTCGAAAAATAACACTCTTGAGTTGCCTTAACAGCTCAATTTTTCACTTGAATGATTTTTAAAGAAATAAGCCCTTTCATTTATTTGCACCCATAATATCGTATTCTTTACCTAATGCACATTCCCCTTTGAGATAAATTCCACTGACTGTTGAGGCGTTTCTATACGCGTTTTCACTCTGAATTATGCCTGTGCGAGACTGAAATTTATTTTCTCAATTCCCATAAAAACTCAGTTTATCCATATACAAGTTAAGACACCCGATATCTACCAGCCATCAAGTCTCCGTTTTGGGTTTGGGTGTAAAATAAAATCTAATCTGCAAATACCGCTTAGCAATTTAGCCTTATCGTTCGAATTATCTGTGGAATAATAATGGTTTTCCGCGTAAACTTACTACTCTATTATGGTAACAGAAATATTTTGATGATTTGACCACAATGCACGAAACATCTAACTTAGTAAAATTGTGTGTGATTTTTCACTCCGGTTGCAGTTTATTTTTAACAGTCGAATAATCCTACTCCAGCGTTTTTTTTTAGATAATTCCGTTGTCGTGAAAAAAATCCCTTTAAAGCTATTTAATTCCAGCTATATTCAATTTTGAAAATCGTTTCATGGGGATGTATGAGATTATGGATTACAATTTTCAATGTTATTGTATTGATTATACGTAGATTTTGGGCTGAGCACAGTTTGAAATTCAGGTGGCAGCAATGGAGAATATGATTGCCAGTTATAATAAAAATTGCAAATTGTCATCATGTTTGCAGTGAAAAGTTCAGATTTATTCTACGAGATCGTGTTTATTACTGCGAGAATCTGGTACCAATTTTTGTTATTGTTGTTTCGAAACTGAATTTATCAAGTTTACTTACGGTAAGCCCAATGTAAAGGCAATTAAACCAACGTCAATTCTACCCCTGCTACAAAAATTACTGTCTGGTAAATATTTGGTGAAAACCGATGACGTATGTTTTTCCTACATGGGTAAACCCTGAAGCCAAAATGAAATCTTGATCACGCAATTCCTTGGTATCATGTCGCGCGAAATCTGATATTCGAAGACGTATGTGTGAAGTAAGAAACAACGCAAGGAATCAGATTTAACCGTTTCATGATGGTAGTATGGTCAACTAACTTTGGACGTACTGCGAATTGCTGTATTGTATATATTTGCTACACCTCAATCAAACAGTATTTAGAGTTTCAGTATAAAGTATAAGCAAAATACATTTGCCGTTGCCATTGTCTGCCAAAAACTTTCGTGATTGAATGGCGCAACGTGAGGAACACCAACCTACCATTTTATCTTGGATTGTGTTGGTTAGGGTCCAAAGAGAAATATAGGGTGTATGTATCAATAATACCTAAAAAATTCTTCAGTTTGTCATTTTATGCTTACATCATCGACTAAATTAAAGAATTGCCAAATATCACCAATATGATATTTCGGGGAATTACCACTAACAATACACGAACTCATGATCAAGCATATTATTTCCGGATTCACTCAAATTGTGACTCAAATTGCATCGCGACTGAATGTTGCAATGCTGAAATGAATAAAAATTGATGGTGAATTCCCTAGAAAAAGTCGATTCTAATTAAATATCACATTATATAATGGCCCTGTTTTGTCCTTATCTGGTTAGTACTTCTTTATTTTGCATAAGATTATAGCATAGTAATACTAATTAAATGGACGTATATAAAGATAAATAAAGTATATAAGGTAGTTAATTTAGTTTTGAATTTATATTACAGATTACATTTTATCTGAAAACGGAAATAATAACAACGCAAATAGCTTGTATATTGACGAGGATAGTTTGGAGCAAACAACAGACGAACAGGAGCAAGAAGATTCTGACATGTCACTAAAATCACCGCTCTCTATGAAAGGGCTGCGGGCAAGCTTTCGTATCAAAAGTAGTAAAAACAAGGACTTGACTGAATTGAAAGTTGCTGATACATCTCATGGAAGCTCGAATGATGAAAAATCAAAGTCAAAAAAGAGCGGAAAACCTGGGTTGCTGGAAAGAATGGGAATGGGCAAAAAACATCAAAGTAGCTCTGACTCGTCAAATAAAGACGAAAGTAAAAGTAAAAAACTCTTCGGAAAGAAATCGAGTAAAAAGGATAGCAGTTCTGAAGCTAAGTCGTCAAAGTCCTCAAAATCAACAAATAACAATAGTAAAAGTCCCGAACCAGTACCGACAAAAGCTCATCAGAAAGACATTTTAAACATAACACAAACGCCCTCGCCAACTATAAACGATTCGTTTTTCATGGGAAATGATTCTCCTGTTCTAGAAAATGGATTTTTTGGTCGCAACTCAAAAAAAAGATTAACATTTTCAAGACCCCCTAAAAACTCTGACACGGAAGCATTTTTGACAGAGTTGAGTGCACAATTTGATGATGACTTGAATATTTTAGATGATCTTGCTAAAGCCTTGCAACAGCAGGCAGATGCCTCGGCGCATCCAAATTTCGGATCAAAGTGGACTTATCTCCCCGGCTTGGGAGAAAGAGGAGGTAAAGAAATTCTTCAATCGTCAAACACAAATGACATGAGTGACTTGAATCTAAGTGACATAGAAGACAACAAAAAAGACGAAACGCCTCCATTTCCACTAATATTGGATAGCGGAGACGAGAGCGGTTTAGGAACAATGGATGCTATCACTCCTCCTCCTCAACCTCACTACGCATATCGCGATCGTGAACTCGAGTGGGAGCGAGAAAGGCAAAACCGCAAAAAGAAGAGAAGACAGGCATTCGAAAGCCTGACGTCACAATCCGATGACAGAGTCAAAACCACGCCATCGGCTCAGAATAATTCTATCTCTCAGTCACAACCTGCTGTGAATGTGTATCAGGACGATGAAAAAATATACGATATACCGAAGACCACTACAGCAACCACAACAACTACTAAAACACGAACTAGAGGTAACCGGAGAGCACGAAGGGGAGCAATGGCTAATCGATCCGAATCGGTTCCTGCAGAGACTTCATACCCACCCAACACGAGATTTACAAGACGTCATGCTGGAATGGAGCTGGATAATGTGCAGACCTCGCAGCGGAACGTCAGTGAGGAATATATTGCAATGTTGCAAGCAGCAGAACAAAACTCCCAAAATCAGTTGGACAAGGAAAAAGATGACGTTTTTGAAAAGCCAAAAGTAGGTTTTTTTCTTATGGTAATTTTGCATAATCAATATATGTTTACTGTGCTAGGTTTGCATTCACTAGAGACAATAGATTTACGGAATAATATTGGGATAGTTTTACTCAACATCAAGTGCAAGTTATATTAAACGTTTTATATAACGTTTTAAAACTTTTGAAAAAATATTTTATCGTCCTAAAAACTGCAGTAAACGTAGTAGATTGCGTCAAATGTCTTATCAAATCTCAGTGTCTATCATTTCATTCATTTACTATGAATCCATCTTCATAATGGTAATACTTAATACTGGTTATATCATTTTCAGCGGCGTGCATTTCGAAACCCAGATAGTGTATTTTCTGCATCTGACGAATCAGTTCACAGTGAAAATGACACGGTAGACGCACCTTTTCCTGTCGACAGAAAGGACAGTCAATCATCTTCCGACTTTGCAGGCGAAGTTGGACAAAAAACTAGCAATTCTGCAAATGGCCCTGGTGACAATTACGTATACGTCGATGACGAAAATGTCTACGCAGCTCCGCGTTCCGCGAATTCCACTGCCGTAAGATTGCGTAAGCGTTCGCATGAATACCCACCACATAGTATTCTTAACGGTGATCTATCATTTACGGACATAAACTCCTTATTACAAGAGAGCGATGACGAAGACCAACCGCAAGCAACGCTTTTCCCCAACGCAAATGGTATCCCGCCTCCTCCACCCCCTCCGCCAGGCGTACCGCCACCTCCTCCCCCACCTCCCAATCCTTCAATGGTGGGGTATCAGCAAGGACCTGCTAGTCCCACTAGAATGAACGTTAAAAGACTAAACTGGCAAAAAATTGAACCGCCAGATCTCAAAGAAACTGTTTGGGGCCAAATTGGAGAGGATTATGACACGATCAACGATGTTGTAAAGTACCTTGACTTGGAGCAACATTTTGCAACTAAAAAAGCGCGAGAATTAAGTAAGTTATTTGGTAATTTCTTTACTATTTAGGCTATAAGGTAACAAATATTTGGGCAAACATATTATGCAATTATTATCTGAAGCTATTCCAATCAAAGTATTATAATCTAATTACAATTACAAATTCACTTTTAGAACGCTTATCACTGCCGGTAAAAAGCAGCGCCGTTTCTATTCTCACACACAAGAAAGCATACAATACTTGTGAGTATCATCTTTTCCATACATTTTCCGGTCAAGTTTCATTCCCTATGTCTTCTAAATATCGTCCTACATTTCAGCTATTCTTTTGGCACATCTGAGAATGACTGTGAGCCAGCTACGTGGAGTCCTATTATCAAATAACGACCAACGAATGGATACGTCTCAGTACAAGCAAATGTTAATGTACGCGCCCGATGACGACGAGGCCACGAAACTATTGGTTTATCATGGTGACGTCACAAAACTCAATGAAGCAGATCAATTTGCGCGAAAAGTAAGTAACTTCTTGGAGTACCAGCTACCAGCTGTTAGCAGTACGATTATATCGGTTTTAAGAGCTATTTAACTTGATTGCGAAACGACTGTGACTGCGACTAAAAATCAAATTAACGCTTAAGCTAGATCAGCGTATTGTTTCTCAAACTGGTAATATCGCAATTCAAAGCACCTTCGTCAGCGTCATGTTTAGTATGACTTTATCTGACATTAAGTGAAAATTTAATAGCCCATGGGCCATGGCGAAGTTTGTACATGGCGATTCATATCTCTGATGTCAGATTTACCACTCTAAACTTTGATTTCCCTTGATATTCAGTTGATCTTAGCGCCTAAATGCTCGTGCCGTGGCAATCATATTCAATTCGAGGTTTCTGTTTGATTAATTAGAATCCAATAACACGATATATTGCCCAGTGCATTCATTCTTTGCATTGTGCGTGATAGCCTATTTGTTTTTTGAATAAATAACCATACTTCCCACTTTTAGCAAAAAGATGTAAATGAGATTTGAGTCTGATAAACATGAGCCTGAGATACCAACATAATTAACAAACTTCCAAGTGCTTATCTTCACCATGATATTTTTGAAGAAATACCTTGTTTCATATTAAAATAATTGTAAGAAGCAACATTGATAGTATGAATCTTCACACGGTCCATTACAATTTATCATAAAAATATTTGACCTACGAATCTGTCATCACATGCTCTTCCGTACTTATAAACGATAATACCTTCAAATCCTGTGTTTATGTTTAAACATGGATCATATAGATAACACAATGTGTATGGTATATATGTTTACCTTGGCATAATATCACATTTGAGTTTCACTGGGAATATTTGGGATCCTATAAGTTTTCCCATTAATTGATATTTAAATGCTTGCTGAAGGCGGAACGTTGGAGCGTAGTATATGTATATATCAATCGTTGGCTCAAAGAGTATTTGGAATTCACAAACCAACTCTTTATTATTATCTACAAGCCTTAGGCCCACCTCTCCCCCATTACTGACATTCCACGCAAGCTTGAAACGTTTAACGCTCGTCCGTCTGTTGTCACGATATGGGTTTTGGGTTTCTAAAGATCTGCAACGTTCGTACGTATAATCGCAATAAATTTCGAGTTCTTAATAATTTAACTTGCACGCACTACCAGTTTAGAGCATATACTACAGTGAATATTTTAGTACGATTTGTTATGTCACCACCTGTCAAAGGATACTCATGCCTACCGCGTATTCGATATGCGAATAAAATAAATGAAAGTAAGATATACATCGCCTCCCCAACCCTAACGCCTATTTAACAATTATTTTATCATATACACTACATTTAGATGGTGACAATTCCAGGATATCGACTCCGGCTTCAGGCACTGATGTATAAACAAGGTTTTGAAGACAGAGAAAAAGACGTCAGAATTGTACGTATGATGTATATGAAGATTTATTTCGATCATGAGCTACTAGGATTAGTTTGAGTAGACTTTGGCAATATCTTTCGATTGGATACTTTAGTACGGCTTGAAAAGGCGCACCGAACCTGACCTCGGTGCAGCAAATCGTGCGACATAGTCTCTTCTTAGAAAGCGGAAAATGAGTTTTATGAAGGCATGCTAAAAATACTGTAACCTGATATGAGTTATTATAATTTTCGTGACGGATTTCATCTATTTCTTGACAACTTTATCTCTTCATAAGTTCCGATTTTAGTATAAGCGGAATATGATAGCATTGTGGTCAAAGTTTCAAATTCGATTTGTTGTAAAATCGTAAATACATTTCCTATATTTTATTAAATCCTCGCAAAACGTGAGCAAGAAATAGGTGATAGAGAGTTTAGCAAAGGCATTTTACTTCATAAAATATTACATGCATAGATAGTTGATTTCCATCTCAATGTTGCATGACTTAGGATAGTGGCTATAGTAATTGGCGTCAAAATACTATTCGCTAAATAAAAAAAATCAGGTTTCTTCTTATTTAATTAAAATTTTACCAATTTTAAATATAGGGTGTCTGAAACCCACAAAATTGGTATAATTGAATTAATGGGTTTCATTTATTTTGGGACTCCCTGTATATCAAATGAAGTACTCCATTGAACACCTTTACATTTGTTCACAATATCTTCTTTTTATAGAATCTTGAGCACATCCAGCAAGCGTCAATAGAACTACGAAAGAGCAAAAAACTTGCGAAAATACTTGAATTTGTTTTAGCGATGGGGAATTATATGAATCGAGGCCACACTAGAATCTCAAAAGCAACAGGATTTAAAATTCAGTTTCTTGCCGATGTGAGTTTAACTATTTTTTTTTTAATTTGTATGTTTACTCAGACATCATAATTTATTATTATCTTCAAAATATTTTCAACAATTTTGATTTTAAATTTCCAACGTATTTAGACTATCTTGTTAAACAAAGATTTGTATTTTCTGTACATCAGATGGATTCTACTAAAACGAGCGACAACAAGTTGACATTTCTTCATATTCTTGCCAGAGCAGTGTATTCGAAATTTCCTGAACTTTGTAATTTTTCACAAGATTTGAAAGATGTCCGACCAGCATCAAGAGGTAGGATATTCCCCAGTTTATTCCGTTTTTAGTATCATCTCAAAAAGCCATTTGAAGTCAAAGTCCAATTACTTTAACTACAAAATACAAATATATTTCGGCTAAATTGACATGTTTTCTGGGCAAAAACAACAGTTATACAGTATTTTTTCGAACTAATATCGCTCTTTAAGTCGTAACATTGTTTTGTACAAAACCAGTCTCATTTTAATTGATTCATAAACCGAGCAAACGGATGACTTCTAATTTTGTTTTAACGCTAATATGAATAAAATATTGGGTATCTATTGAATACCAGAAATTCGCCAGAGGTCGGTTTTTCAAAGCAACGAATTATATGCAGTAGACCCAGGGGCTATAATAAAACTTGCTTGTTGTTTCCGGCCCATTGGCAAAGCTATGATATATTAGTGTGCTTTAGCAACGATTTTCGACACCTTGTGCAATACCGTGAAATTCGGGATTAGAGTTTTCCGTTTCACGCCTACTCGTCCGGTGACATACCACGGTTTTGTTTCTATCCGAAAGGAAATTACGCTCTAGCTCGCTATTTATTACACGCAAAACTGGGAATATAGTTGTTTGAGTAACAGAATTTGGAAACTTTTTGGAAATGACTTGATCGAAATCAGGTGAAATTCGTTATGTTTATACAAGACTTTCCCCCAACGCAAGCTAAACAATACGAACATTTCTATTTTACTTTTATTATACCTTCCATCGATTTTTCGGTACTTCTTTAAAACTGTTAAACTCTAAAGTTTTTCGGTACAATAACGTAGCTGGCATTAGTTTGGTCACCCGTAAAAAGGATACAGATGTTGCTCGTGTAAGTTAAATAAACTTATAAATTTGATCCAACTGCGACAATGGTTGCAGAAACGTTAAAAGCTGACATGGTAGAAGAAGTTCAATGGTTCACTGCAAGACCTGATTACATCAGTCTGTATCTTGAAACTTCCTAAACCACATTGTTTTGAAAGATAGTTTTACAGCCTTGCGGCAACTAGTGTACCTTTTCACCGTAACGCGAAGCGGCTTAACTACTTGACTATTTTATCTCTATTTGTGTGTCAACATTTCATACAAAACGAATTATGAGTGAATTTGGTCAAAACAATATGTATGTTTTTTTTTCATATTGGGTATGACTGTTATATTTAATGCGATAAAAACGGTTTTATGACCTCAAATTCCCAAATCGAACAGAAAAGTTCTTAAGCCTAAGTACTAGGTCGACTGCTGGATTCAGTTACATTTGAGGGTACTATGTCAAAGAATATAGAATGACTAAAATACTAGTTATTTAAGGCATGTTATGTTTACGCTTGGATAATCGCCAAACTAGACGCAAATTATCTTGATAGCGGAAATTGGTAACATTGTCTTGTGGATTTGACCCCCAATTCCTGCTTCTGGGGAAGGTAAACGAAACTAATACGATACAGGAGACTAAACATAAGTTTTAAGTTCAAGTAACTTGGCGACAAGACATAAAATTTGGAGTTGCATGTATAAGACCGCAAAAAGGGGAGGAGAATATTCGCATTAATTGAAAGCAGTTCAACGTCATAAAATCCTCTCATGGTGTGTAGGGGTTAGGGTGGGTAACTAACGTCCTTAATTAAAAAAAACTAGCCAACTGATGTCTAGTGAATAATAGTACATCCTCGATTATTGTGCAGACTCCAATTGATTTTTGAGATAATCTATTTTAATTCTTCTATCTCAAGTTTAAATTTTTTTTTTTTTTAGTTGTTTATCCAATAGTGTTCCAAGAATTACAAGATATGAGAAGTGAATGGGTCGAAATAAGAGATAGAATGCCCGAAGCGCTAACAAAACAAGTTCGAGGAGACAGGTTCAAGTAAGTTGCTGTGACGTTTTCTAGTGTATGAGCTATTGAAGCAGTTCATGATTCAGATAAAAAAAAGGACCCAGCTGTATCAGTCTTTACATTTCTATATACTCTATACACTTTCAATCAACGGCAAAATTCAAACAATGACTGATGCTTTACAAGACATCATAACTTATTAGCAAACAAAATCATATCTTCATTACTCTTGTTGTTGCTTCTGTCTGTACTTGGGTATATATATAATACGAACGACATTTTAAACAACTAGACTAAAATATATAGATACAACAATTTCTGTTCAACTATATATATCACCGGAATGCGGTAAGTATATATAGATAGAACCGAGGAACATAACTAATTTCTACCACTTTGTAGTTAAGTATGCTGAATGTCCTAATAACGCATTCTTTTGTCTCGACAGGCAAGCAATGGAGAACTTTTTAGTAATGAGCAATGGCGCCCTCAAAAGTTTAGAAATGCTTTTGGCCGCAACAATGAAAGAGTTCCATAAAACCGCAAGATATTTTGGTGAAAACGCTAAGAATGTCAGCATGCAGCAGTTTTTCAGCATTTTTGGAGAATTTATCGCAAAATTTGAGGTATGGTCAAATTTATATATTTTCAGAATATTTGGTTTGTTTATTAATTATTATAACGGATTGTGTTTTTATTGACTATTATTTTCCAAAAAAGTCTGAATGGAAAAATTTGTCCTCTCATTCAAACTAACACTACGGTCAAGACAATATTTTATGCCGATAACTATGATGCTACTTATTGTTGTATTATTGTGGGTGGTTGATTATTTATTCCAATGATTATTTAAATGCTTTTTTGTGTTTTGTTATTCAGAAAGCAGACCATGAAATAAAGCTCATCATGCAGAACAAATCAACGGAGATTACCTCGTAACTGAGTTTCCATGATGTTGTCGATTAAAAGTCATGTTACGGAATTGTCAATTAATTGTAATTCACAAGTAATATTAATCAAAAAAATACTCCCATTTGTTACTTACTTTTCTGTTACAATTTAAAAAATCGCAAGTCGTTTGTCATTCACTACCCGTCCAATATTTGATCCATTGTATAGGAGCGTAAAAACTATTTCGACTTTATTTTTTATTTATTGCTTTCTTCTTTTTGACATTTACTTTTTACACCCCGTGTCATATTTTTCAATTCATTTGCTATTTTCTTTGAAATGAAACCTCCTACTGAAGAAGAATTACAATATTAAAGTAGAGGAATTTTCGAATAAATTTCATCCTTAATCCGTCGATAAAAAACTTTTTGTCTGAATTCACTTTATTTAAATAAACTTGGAAGAGATTTTTTACACCAATGTTTTATCTTTTTGCATGTGAACAATTGTACTCAAAAACGTGATGTTATATACCAGACATTGTGATTACTTCGTGGTCAATTGAGTCAAATACAAAAATATAATTATCTCGATGAGAATGTCAAATAAAGTAAACTTTTTGGGAGGTATGCATAAACTTCATGTGTTCCTGGTCGCTTTAGTCAGAGCTGTCTTTCTAGAAAATGTGACTTTTCTTATTGATAGTTGTTTGGGTAACTCGGTGAACTCAGATATCTGGCAACGAATTTTTATTTTGCATATATGTTGAAAACTTGCATGTTTATTGATTTATGTTTGTTTATTAGTCGTCTATATATACCACAAGTAAATATTCGGAACTGGGATGTCTTGCGAATACTTTGATTTTCAATACTGGGAAGCGCTAAGGATTGGACTAAATGTAAAAAATTAATTGGAAATGATAAAATTGTTCTAAAAGATTCTAGAGTCTTGCTGCAAACTATCACAAGAAATCATATTTTTTAAGACGAGCCTATTTCAACCATGATAAGAAAAGGTGATTGCATGATCATGAATAATGGTTACCAATTGTTAGAACAACAGGGGAGTCGACTTCAATAAATTTTGGTTGTTTCAGAAACCGAGCAAACGATTCAATTTCCCTGGTCCTCGGTCAGAAATGCTCTATACCAGAGGTCACCAACCTTTTTGAGGCCGAGGGCTACTTTCTGGGTACAGATTAAGCCGCGGGCTACCAATGCAATGTATTGTTCTAAAAAGTCGGGGCTGTGTGGCCCTCGTTAGTGTGCTAAGCGTTAGGTTCGCAGGTTAGAATCCCATGCGAGGATAGTTATGTGCGAGAGGATTGCTGAACCCCTTGCCGCCGTTGGGATGGGTTCCTTCGCTATCAAGTCCATGCTTACGAAAACAAATAACCAACCAATCCCATACCCGATATGAAATGGTAACCGGACGAGAGGCCTCGGTTCGTCATATGGTTAAGCCGTCTTATCGACTATCTTCTCCCCCGGGATAAATATGTAAATCTATCCTATCCTGAGTTTATGTCAAAAAAGTTGATTCACAAAGAAAGGTTGAACGAAACAATGGTCTCGTAAAATAGAATTGCTGTATGATTTGAATCGCGAGTTTTTTCTGTCCGTACTGCGCTGACCAGTGGATAGTTAGCGCGGTAGATTGCGTGACAAGCCGTGAAATATCTTTTCGCTTTGCCGTCGCTACAATCGCCCCACAAATGAGAAACGCGCAGGCTGTTTTCATGGTGGTAAAAATATATCCACCCCCATTCATGAAAATAATGGGTTTTTCTGTCATTTTTCTTTGAATTCAATAGTTATATTATTGCTGCTCCACAAACCAACGGACAAGAAAAGCGCGGGTTCGTGGTAAGTGATATCAGTGTGGTGTCATAATTGCAAGAGTGTTAATTGACTCGTCACCGTTATTAAGCTTAGTTTAGAACAGACCTGCGGGCGACTCATATGGTCTTCACGGGCGACTTGGTGCCCGCGGGCAACGCGTTGGTGACCCCTGCTCTATACTATAGGGTAGATGATAAGTTGTCTCATGCTTCCTTCTTTGAAATATGTCAGGTAAAGTTGATAATTACATTTTCGATTGCAGTGTGAACTACACTGATTGCACGGTGAAAGTAAACTAGCATAATTGACATAATAATAAACGAAAAAGAGAACTAAACTTCTAAATTTGTATTACCAATTTTCACCACGTGTGCTTAAGTTTCAGTATTCTTCTAGATATTTGGCGGTTGGACTTGTAAGTTACATACTACGATTTTGCAAGATATCGTGCAATTCCCTTGCTTATTTTCCTTATTATATTTTTTGTTATAGAGAAAGCAATTACACGCCATTATTTAACTCGAGAACGTACATTGTATATATCGGTTCTTAAAAGTCATAGAAATTGGTTGCCATAGAAATCGGTGACATTCATTTTAAAGAAACGTAAGGGAAAATCTTACAGGAATACCAGTTTTTATTCTCTTAACAAAACGATGAAAATTTCTAAATGTATGACTATTAAAAAAAAGTACTAATGAATATAAAATTAATTGAAAACCTACATATACATACATATATATATCAATGTTTGTTTTTTTAATATTACTCCGATTAATAGAAACATGCAAGAAGACACAAACAAGCGCAAATAACTATGAGAGTTTGCTGAAAACAAATCAAAAACTTAAAATTAGGTCAGAAGAAAATAGCTAACACAATTTTATAATTTGAGAATATCATCTCGGGGTTTACAGCCGAACATTTTTTGTCGTAGAAAGAAAAATCTGTCATATTAAAATGTTTCAGGGTGGTCGTTAATCTCCAACATTCTATTATATACTCTCACTATTACAAATAAATTAACAGATCAGCTCAAATACATCCACTCAACGGAATGAAAACTTTTACTATTAAATACAATTTTTTAGCTTTTAAACATTCTCTGAAATTTTTCTGGTAACTAAAAAATATTAAAAATGTCGTCTGCTGTGGATATGCAATGATACGGTGAAACAGCGTGCTAATTCGATAATTTTGATACGATTGAACAAAAAACACTAAGAATCTAGATATAAAAATAGTTCAAGGGTGACCCAAAAACGCAACCCATAAATTTCTTAAATAATTCTATTAAAATAAAAATAGATATATTTAAATTTGTTTAATCGCGAACTTATACCCAAATATTTCAGAACGATTTATTTCAAATATTACAGAAATCTAGGATGTTTTGCACAAACGTTATGTTCTCTATAGAATATGTTCCTAATGATCTTATTGTCTTTGGAGACATACGTGCACCCGTTGCGCAAAATTTTCAATCTCTCACTTCACGTGGTTTTCTGTTGCAGCACACTTTCTGCTGCCAGGGCGTGTCAGGGCATGTAAGGTTTACCGGGGCACAGCATCCAGGAAAGTCTCGCAGAGACCGTTACAATCAGTAAAGTGCACGGCATGGGTAATCATTTTCAAAACTGACATGATCATAATTGGTTCCGTAATCCGTATTCGTTTGAAGACGAAAGGGAAAAAGCTCAAGCGGCGAATACGGAACGTTATACGTGGTTGTGCCGAGGAATTTTTAGATATCATCTGGACAATGTAGAAAGATTGGTAGAGGTTACCAGGGGTGATTTCAGGAAAGGCTGGTCAGAAGTAAGCAGTGACTTACTTCATCCATCTGACTTAAAACCCCTAAATTTTTTATCTGTGAGAGTGTTCGAAAGACAATTTGTATTAAAACAATCCTCAAACATATTTGTGAACTCAAGGCTGCAATTGCAGAAATCCTCATAGAGTAGCATGTGCAAGTGATTGACACTTTTGTGCAACCGGTGCAAGTCTGTTTACAAAGACGATAAGATCATTAGAAACATATTCTATATAGACTATAGAGAACATAACTTTTTTGCAAAACATCCTAGATTTATGTAATATTTGAAACAAATCTTACACAAACAAAAGTTCAAGTGTAGAGAAAGTTAAATAATCACTCCCTTTTCGTAGGAGTAGTTAATAAATTTTCGATTCTGTTTTTTGGGCCATTCTGTGATTCAAAACATAATGTTTTTCTGAAACATTCACAAAATGATCGTGCGTGAAATTTATATTTTCGCGTATGCAAAAACGGCATTTTTATCTATCTTAACCTTTCAACTAATAAGCAGTCTTTTATCTGGAGCATGCTCCACATGTCTTGCGACAATTATCGTAGAACATTCGTGGATACCGACATTTCGACGTCATGCAGGTCTGGAATAGGTCAAAGCAAGGTCCTTTGCCTGCGATAAATATTGAAGTTTGTTATTCAAAAAATATAATTAGTTTATGGTTATATAGATGAAATAAATTGAAATGAAATCAATGGGATAATGGAAGCTATTTCCCATCATAGTTCATCTGCTAAAATACAATAAACCAGTGCTAACAATTTCGGCCCGCAGAACGACAGGCTTCCGCCTTAGTATGAAAGTTTATTGTTCGTGGGACCCGGGCCGCAAGTCCCTCAGCTCAGACGCAATTACGACTGAATAATGCAAAGAAAGTGGTTCCGAAATCGAAATTATCTTGTTGCTGATGAATTGATGGAAACCAAGCAATTGCACTCATCCCATTAAACTGTACCCATTGTACTAATGACATGCAATAAATGAGTGCTCGATAACTTGTTGTTATTCTGAATTCTTCAGTGGACCGCGCTTCATTGGAGAAATTGTAAAGGGATCGTTTTGCAAAATTTTTTGAAATGGATTGTTTACTAATCTAGACCAGTGGTTTCCGATCTGGTCACCGGCACCGGTCCGCGAAACTTTTTTGCCGGTCCGCGAGAAAATTCGTTGTTGTTTTTATGTCGTCTAAATCAGTGGTTCCCAAACTTTTTTCACCATCGCCCCCCTGCATGAGTTCATACGACTTCATCGCCCCCCGACAATACAAAAAAATGTAAAGTCAGAAACGAATATATTACAGACCAAATAAGAAGACAAATCATATAGTTTATAGTGTTTTTTAATGAGATAGATGAGCTTGGTGTTCTTCAGCGAGTTTTTTTTTTATTATATCTAAAATTACTTCGTTTACTGGTGGAAAGGCGATTTCGGTGTTTTGATAGCAATAGTAGCACGGCTTAAAACCCCGTTTCCACCCTATAATAGGTCGAAAATGAAAGAATCCAGGGTTCTACCTCCTCAAAAACCGCTTTCTTGCGTGTACTGCCTTATAGCATTTCACTTCCTAAATTAACCTCATTTCACATTAAATTTATGAAAACAAAGTTAATTATCCCAAACTTATAATAATGATTTTCGTACATCTCATTCATTCCTACAGCCTGATGACCTGCACCAAAATACTTCGTTAAAATTCATCCCCGATTCCTCATCCTACCACGGTCTCCAGTCCATAATTATTCAGCCATTTGTTTTTGGATTAATGGACTCGGATGTAAAAAAAGCCGTGACCGACTATCGGCTACAGCCCAAGGGTCGGCAAATTTTATGTCGCTCGCGGGACAAAATTCAGGGTTGCTAGTCTTTTGCGGGTCGCATATATTTTTTAAAATTTAAAAACGGAACAGCGCGCGAAAACTGCGACAATTCGTGAACTCAACTCAGTCGTCTTATTAAAAAGATATTACAATGACATTTAATGTGACATTGTCTTGTTGCTGCATCACGCTGGATAGCTTACGACGCCAAGATTGAAACATTTTCTAAATGGGCATCACTAATCTCAGTTCTTTGCTTGTTCTTTGTAATGTTCATTTTCGAAAATAATTGTTCGCACAAATATGTACTTCCAAACATGGAAGTGAATATTGTTGCATGATTTGTGAAATT